TGGAATTTTCGAAAATGTATTATACTAGGTAAACTGTACCAACTTTTCACTTGAACAATAAATGCCGGTACATAATAACTCTTCCATATCAACAATTCTGGAACTGTGCAGTGACGCAGCACTATGTCGGAAACCGTTCGGAGTAGAGCACATGTACATATAGAGTTTTTTGCTTACAGTGACCGATACTATGATTGCCGAGAACAATGACCTTTCCTCCTGGGATACTCTGTATATTACGCATATGAGAAAATGAAAAGGAGACCAATGCGAACATGGTGCTCCTTGTATGATTCTGTGTTCCCATTTCACATTTTGAACCAACTGACTGATTTTGACGAAGACTGGTATGAACGGTTTGCAATTTACTCTCCCCCAACGTCATACGATTCGATCTCTCACAAGCAGTGACAATAACATGGCGGACCGCGAACTTCTAGTGGTGGGCGCGAATATCGACATGTGATTTAGGGTTCTGAGATGGCGGACAGAAGTTAATCTTGCAATAAAAGTATGCAACATTTATTAATGTATATTTTATAGACTATATGAAATCTGTGTTCAGCTTTCGGTTTGTTCTCGATAACTAATGACCATTTCGAGCCAGGCGGGTGAAATTGGTACAGAGATAACTCACAAACATATCTAGGATTTATCTGCGATATATCGTTTGTAAGTAAACAATTATAAACAGACTAACCTTGAGAATTTTCAGCGTTATAGCAGACAAATTTAACGTCAACAGACACTTAAGTAATAAGCTCTACACAAAATTAAATAAAATAAAAATAAAAGGTAAAGTTGTCCCTGTGATTAACTAATTAAACACTATGACATCAAGGCGTATTGGGGAGTGAATGTATAGATCCAGTGATAATAGTCACGGACCTGCAGGATTAGAATTATGCTATAAGAAAGCAGGCTTCGTGAGTTCAGCTCAGAACGTTAATAAATAAGAATGCCGTCTTCTGGGATGTGGCGCCGTGTAGATATTTTGTTAACCGATGTTTCGGAAGAACGTATCGCCTCCATCTTTAGGGTATAAGAAATCCGCGAGCGATGAACCAGCGAGAGCAGGTGTCTGCAGGCGATATTCTTCATAGTCACCGCCGTGAAAACCTCAAATTTTGCACGTTTTAAAGAAAATTTATTTAACTAAATTTGAGCTTCGTGTGAAATAAGGGTGTTCATAATTGAGATATAGATAAACAAAATTTAATTATCTGAATATCTTTTAAACACGACACCTCTCTTCAACTCCAACCCAAGCATCAAATTTGTTCTACATGTGTTGAACAGAGTAGTTTTCTGATGTGAAACATGCGGACGGACGAATGAACGCTGTATGCTCTGGAACTAAATGAGAATGTCAATGTGTTTGTCTATCGCAGATCGTTTCCCTTCCCGCTTCACGTTATGTGAGCTCAGCTGAAACTTACAAAAGCACACCCAAAAACATATCGTTACTGAGTCATCACGGATTTTGCACGTAGCTGAAACTATGACGTCATCGTTAATAAACTTGTAAATACTAAAGAGACAGATTATATACCTTGTGGCATGTAATGTTTACTATCACAACAACTATTATGACTGCTATATCTGTAATGTGACGCCGTGCAGTTTGTTAGATAACTACCACCAACCTTTCGGAAGAACCTGCTGCCCTGAAGTTGGAGGCAGAATGTTCCTCCGAAAGGTCTTTGCTTGCCGCTTGCTTCTCGCTCATTACTTGTTCAGGATTATTCTTCGATACTGAAGATGGAAGCAGCAAATTCTCCGAGATGTAGGTGAACTTGTACAGAAATACACAGTGTTACATCCCATAAGATAGTACTCTATAGGATGGCAGTTTTCTACGAGTCTACATGGCGTCATATTCCCCACCTTGAGAACATATTAGTGTTCTATGGGGAGGCTATTTTGCCAACGGCCATAGATTCGAATCTCTCTTCTGCTTCTGCTGTCCTGTTACCTAGCTACCAAACTACACGGCATCACATTCCAACAGGCATCAGTCTTCAATTTAGCCTGTCTTAGTTTTACTTCTAGACCAGCCTCCTTTCTAGTTAGTGTCTGTTTAGAGCATCTGCAATAATCTTTATGGTATTTATGTTTTCACCATAACAATTAAAATGTGACACGGCGTATTACGGTTGATGGCTACTAATGTTTCGGAGAGACATGCCGCTCCCTGAAACAGGCCAATATACGCAGGCTTCTTATCGTGACCGGGATATCCGCTGCTTACAGTACGCGGATTTCCGCGCCTCATGTCAACTAGAGGCGCGGCCTGCGATAACAGCAAGACATAGTCGGGGGAGCTTTTCTGCACAATCCGATCTGAGAAGATACCTTCGTGTGTGTTTGTGCTTGCGTGCAAACTTGGGCGGGCGGTGGGGGGGGGAGATCCGTATCCTCCCAGTGCACATAGCACGCGTGGTGATTGGATATGCACAAAACACTTAGAAAACGTTGAGGAAAGAGACCATATGGAAGACCTATGCATAAATCGGAGGATAATATTAAAACGCATCTTAGAAAAATAGGATGGGAGAATTAGTTCTGTGTTCGCCTGGCTCAGCTTGTGAACCATTGTCGGTCTCTCGTGAAACCAGTGATAAATCTTCGGGTTCCGTAAAATGCAGGGATTTATTGACTAGTTAGACTACTGTCAGCTTTTGAAGAAGGACTCCGACCGAGCAAATCGGCTAAAAGGACGTGCCCGATTTGAACATCGGACAGCACACAGTATATCATAAGTTTTTCGTGGTTTTCCTCAGTTCTTCCAGGCAAATGTCAGGATAGTAACTCAAATAGGCCACGTCCTCTTCCACGTTCTTTCCAGTTCATTATTCGCTAATTATACTGACACCGGACGCTGTATAATCAGAGATACTCAGACGGTCGTGAAATAAGCTGCAGACTGGGAAGTTCAGTGCAGCTCCACTTCAATATGACAGCCGTATTGCCCTCTCTTTTTAAGTTTATTTAATGACGCTGTCCTTATCGAGACTATATAGAGTCGAAGACAGGATGATTAGTGTATATGGAGCAGTTCGTGGAATGAGAACTGGGACGGGAAACCGAAGTACTCTGAGAAAACCTACCCCAGTGCCGCTTTGTCCACCACAAATCCCGATGTCTTGTCCTGTGATTGAACCAGGACTTGGCGAAGACTAACCGCCTTATCGACCTATCGTCGAAGTACCATTTGAAAGCAAATACAAGACAGTAATCCATTCTTGAGCTTTGGACGTATTTCCGGAATTTAAATTTACTCGTGAGAAAAGAAACTGAACGTGTAACCAATGTTTCACGAACGTTCAATATAGAAAACTGACGCCATTTGAAGCATACATACCAAAGAGAACAAAGAGAAAGAGGGGGGGGGGGGGGGGGTAGTGAGAGAGGGAAACAGGTATTTGTGAGATATGACAAAAATATAGTTTTTTCTTCCGGCTCTGAAGGTTCCCAGGCAGTGATCGGTCTTCCTTGTGACAAATATGAACCCCATCTAAATAATGCTGTATAAGGAAATTATAGATGTATATTTTAAGAACTGTACGACGCCATAAAAACGCGGCCAAGATACCGATATTTTTAGTTTTAGAGCAGGTGGTACACACAGTTATCACTGATGCTTTACAGCAGCATTGGACCCCCCCCCCCCCCCCCCCGCCGCCNGAAGCGTGACGTAATTTATTTGTAGCGTTTCGATCACATGCCGACCAGTCTTACGTCATCACTCGGTAGAGTGACGTCATGATGACTCATCAGGCTGTGAGCCAGTGTAAGCGTATTTCGAGAACACAAGGACTTCACACTACATAACTAGTGTTTATAACTAACAGGCATTGCGTATAAACTAAAATACATATGTGTGCCCGTTAACACGTTCCTCGTCCCGGGAATTAGCAGAATGAATTCTTGCATCCGGAGCAGACGCAAAAATTCATATTTCGCAACACCTGAACTTCTAAGGTGCCTGGGATGAAACGTGCAACAGGGACTAAACCTACTGTCGTAAACATATTAAAATATTACGGTTTTGTAAAACAGAAGTTATTCCATTCGTGTACGTTACTTCCATCCGTGGAAACATTTTATAGCAGATGATACACGGAGACTACATCTTACCCAGAGACAATTTCTTCTTCATAGTACTCTTCGAAATGTTGCTTATGGAATTACCTCTGTCCGTATGAACATTAAGAAATCACTAAACATTATCTATCTTGCTTCGTTAAAATTTTTGACATAATATTGATATTTTAAGCGGCATTTATTATCTGCAACGGATGGGGTTATTATTTCCATACTATAATTAGATAAAGGGTTTCTAATTGTCAGTCTTCGAATATAATATATATATATATATGTACAGCAGTTGTGCCGGCCACTGTAGCCGAGCGGTCTAAAGCATGCACTGTCTTCTCTCGCTCGGAAGCCGGGATCGTGGGTTGGAATCCCATTCAGGGCATGGATGTTTGTGTGCGTTTTTCTGTGTTTGTGTACAGGTAGAGGCCTTGTGACTAGCTGATCACCCGCCCAAGGAGTCCTACCGTATGCCTAAGACCTAGTAAACCGAATTGAAACGGAGAGTTTCATGGAGGCAGGCCTAGGCCCAAACGAAGGCTGTAGCGCCAATGAAAAAGAAAATACAGCAGTTGTACGGAAAGATCACTCGAGTGAAATAAAGTGTTCCTCTTTAAGTTTGTCTGTATTGTAATTATGTGCTTTTTAACCCTTCATTTCGATTTAGCTGAAATTTTATGTACAATACGATAATTATGTTCATGATAAATAGGGTCTACGCTGGATTACTTAACTTATGCAGTATACAAATTCACCACCAGATGGCATATAACTGCAGCGAAATGGCACATATTCGATACGCGTTCGTTGATTGCGAGAATTTCAAACAGTGTAATACTTCGATATCTCAGTGTCAATTCGGTCAATTCCAACAGAAAAAGTTGGTGCTGTTCGGTGCTATCTGTTGGGTACAATAGGAACTTGCTGCTGAAGTGAAAGTTGTTGGGATCAGAGTCGATCAGAGTGGTAGGTTCAATTTATTACTATCCACCACGAAGAGAAATATAAGAGATCGTGATATGACTGCTATAGAATTATTAACACCGCATTTGAATAGCATCAAGATTCCTGATAATTCTCAGAAGATATACAAAGATGAATGTGTGTTTTCTTTCGATACTCCTGTAAGTTATTTCGAAAACTTATCTGTGAATAGTCTTTCAACATGGTGAGACCAATCATATTACCGGAAAATTTGATCCACCAATCGTGGATAGTGTACCGTTACGTAAATGGTGTCATTTTTGTTATTTCAGCTTATTAACATGTACAGTATTGGAATATGATGATATTCATAGCTAACCATTGGCATACAGTGACATCCTACTTTATTCCTTGCGCTTCATAAACCTAAAGGTGCCCTGTGGTTACACGTTCCAGATTTCGAAGGCAGTTTGATTCGGCCAAGGTTGGGTTAGGTTAGTTTCGTCTCGCATTGGGTTAGGGGGCTGGTACGTGACCATGCCCGACACATAAAAGAAATAATGTCTAAGGTGGTCTAGTTGCTGCGTTCTGAAGGCATTCCTTGTCATGACGTACAGTTGAATCTGAAGTAGAATCGGTACCAGTTATATTGTGGGAATATAGTATAGGATGGTATAGTATAGTGCTTGGGTTGCTATGCCAGTTTGTTAAAATATCCCATGCTTTAAATACAGTCCATGGAATGGATGCATCAAATGTAATTCAATATTGCTGTATCGGAGTTTCTCAGAATGAAGTAAAGGCATGAGAAGAGTTCGTAAATCATGTTACTATATACAGTATGACTTCACTAACTAGTTTCAGGTTTGAAGTTCTCATAGCAGTGAAGGTTTTTTTTTCCTTGGCACTACAGCCCCAGTGGGCCTAGGCCTACCTGCATGAACTTCTCCGTTCACGCAGTGAAGGTTAGGTTGTGGTTTTGTGGGTTGCCACCATGTAGTCTGTGGGAACATACTTCCTCCATATATAGTACCATTATAAACCATCAACCATCATAATAAACAAATCAGTGTTATTGTATTAATATTTGTTTATTATGTACATTTGCTGCAGGTTTTGATCCAGCTGGATCATCATCACTCAAAATTATATTAGAATATATATAATCAGTTTTCAGGTATACGTAATTAAAAACAACACAATATTCCCAGAAAACCCCTCTCCTCCATGATGCATCATTATAGACTCAAAAGTTTTAATTCTTTAACTCCTAACTGGGTTATAAGTTTTACATTTTAAGGCTAATATTTATAATGAAACAAGAATCATAATGAAATTTATGTTTATGACCAATATGGATCCACCTTAGTAATACAATTCAGTATGGGTGCACATTTTATGAATATTTGCCTGACGATGAGCCAGCTGAATCAAAATAGTGTGACGTGGATGGCATAGTGGGAGGTGGGGGTTCCGTGAACTCTGTGATCTCGCGATTGACATTACATACCCCCACTCTGTCCATCAGTGTGCAATGCTTGGTAGACACCCCTTTCCCCACGGTGATGTAACATGGGACGCTGCAGTTGCTATGTAGCCGTAAACAACTCGTGGCAGCACTGCCCAGCAACGCCTTTGTAAACACGGTGAGTCCGTGCAACGACTGTTCCTAGGCAGTCAGTAAACATGACGTTACGCAACAGTGGTGCCTGTTACGTAACTGTTTTCTGTGTTGTCCATGACGGGGTTAAATACAGAGCAGCGAACACTATTCAACAGTTAGTTACGAGTTAGCCAGTGAGTCAGCAGTCAGTCAGAAGTGAGTGATCAGCAGCCGCCGAGGACAGTTGAAATGTGGCCGTCGCCGGAGACAGCTGAATTGGAACGGTCGCTGAGTTCAGTTGTAGCGGAAAGAAGAATACCAGAACGTGTGATTAGAAGTGATAGCATGAGAAGCAGATGCTTGGCTCACAAGAGAAGTAATTGGGATTGTGGAATTTAGTGAGACTTGTATAGCTCCCATATCGTACTGTGAATACGTGTAGACTACTGAAGCTAGAGTGAATAGAATTTGTAAAGTGTGTAAACCCATAACAGTGTGATAATTAATTGTAGCNGTTGGAATTTAGTGACACTTGTATAGCTCCCATATCGTACTGTGAATACGTATAGACTACTGAAGCTAGAGTGAATAGAATATTGTGTAGGGTTTGTAAAGTGTGTAAACCCATAACAGTGTGATAATTAATTGTAGCCAAGACTTGTAGGTTGTTAAATAAACCAATTAACAATCCCAACGGCGTCTTCAGTGGCAAAACACGTTACAATATGTAACAAATGTACATAATAAAGAAATATTACAATAATATTAATTTGTGTATTATGACTTTGTTGTGTTAATAGATGTATAATAGTACTACTATGTATATAGTAATATGCAACAGGATGCAAACAATAAAGATACTTACTTCATTTTCTGAATAAAACCTACCTTCAGCTTTGAAGATGCAAGCAATATGTTTTCCTGAGAGATTCATATACCCCTACCATGGTAGAAGGTAGATTTTGCCTGGAAAGTTGATGCATTATGTTCCTCCAAAATGTCAGTTACCTGACTACATGGGATCATAACCCAGAAGACCACAGGGGAGTTACTGAAACTGATTTGCTTAATGAGATCAAAAAGTACCTCAAAAGGGTCATTAGAAACTGTTTGATTCCATGCTGGCCACAAACCACTGCTAATTATTTTACATCCAAATCCTTCCCTCAGAATATACATGGATTTCATGCTGGAAGGGCAGTAGTGCAATCTTGTGGCAAGAACATAAACCAGCATTTGTAATTCATTAACTGCTGAAATGTGGCAGAGTGTTTTCTCAAAGTGTTTAAAGATCAAATTTTGTCCAATGATGACTGTGTGTGTCTTAATTTATTTGGAATTCTGTGAATAAGTTGGTTTCTCTGTGTGGAACTGTAACATCTTAAAATTTATTTACTTCTCTGGCAGACCCACTCTTCATGTATGGTAACACTTGTTCCAATATATGTCACACATGACATTTTACATATGAAGTGACCCTGCTAAATGAATCAGTTCTTATCATGTACCTTGGCTGTTACCTTACATCAGTAGAAATACTAATATGTTCTTCTGTAATATGGTGTTGTCTAATCGAATTATATTCATTACACTTATTACCTTAATTGTAGGAAACTGACACAGGTTTATATGTGAGCTTGAATAACTTCCTTGGATTTGGCCGAGACTATGTAGAACGTAATTACAGGAAAACTGGCAATGCAGTGTACCTTCATATTCACCGAATAAAGAAGGAGGTGAGTATTATTTTTATATTGCTTGGACAGCTGTCTAAATGAAGCAGCAAAAACATTTTCCGAACACACTTCTTTAAAGTTTTAGCTGTTATATATTGTGATATTGGAAAGGAAAGGATCCATACCATAGACAATGAATGACTGCTTCTTGTACTCTCCCCTGGATATAGTAACAGTATTGCAGATCATTCTTAGCATGTTCGACACATCCTCCGTGAACAGTTCATTAATAAAGTTTTAATATTGTTAACTTTTTTTTAGCTACCTTCTGAACAGCCAGGAGATGGCCCTGAAAAGAAAATAACGCGCTTGGCTATCGGTGTTGAAGGTGGCTTTGATCCTGATGCAGGCAAGAAAAAATTTGAGTATGAGGAATCTTATTCCATTGTGGTGTTACCAGATTTTGTCAGTATATCTTGGCCAGATCCACAACTTCCAGAAATAGTGAGTTCTGAGTATTTTTTTTTGAACATTAGTATTATTCTGTTTTAGTTGTATTCGTTTTGTGAATTTTAATGGAATGTTGTTCATGGAGCATGCTCATAGTTTGTTTATACAGTAAAAGTAAAAAAGTAAAGCTATCCCTGTAACAGGCTGTGGAGGCCCATACGGTTGTGAGATGTTGAGGTTCCCACGTTTTCTAGACAATCGGCTCATAGGTAGCAGCAAGGTTGTCAGCCTTACGTGCCGGCCGCCCTTTACGTCCAAGAATATTCCAAGAATATTCTTGGTGCTCATTTCTGTTAGAGTCTGAGTCAACTCCAGGGCCATAGTGTGGCTGGAAGGATTAGGTCAATTGAAAAAAAATCCAGTGACCTCATCAGGACTTGAACCTGAGACCTTCCGGCTTGTAGCATAGTGCCTGAATCAACAGTAGAATGTCGATTATTCAAATTGCCAGTTCACCGAATCACTGCATCCAAAGAATGTGACTGCTAAACAGCCATCACTGTTGGACTTTTTCAAATAACGTTTGAACATGTTAATTTATAAGTACCTTTATTAATTTTTCATGATTCACCCATTTTAAAAGTCTTTAGTTTTTTTTTTTTGTTATATAATTCAGTACATTATAATAATGTTGCGGTAGTGTTTTTTGTGGATAAGAATTTAATCCAATTATCTGAATTTTCGATTATCCGAACCACATTTATCATCAATTAATTTGGCTAATCAGTGTTCTACTGTATATGTGTTCAGTTTGAGGACAATGGGGAAAAATTGCATAGTGAGAGATTTCATGCTTTGAATTCCTGTCCAGATATTGTTAGGATGGTCAGATCAAGAAAGATGAGGCAGTTGGGGCATTTAGAATGCGTGAGAAAGAAGAGAAATGCATAGAAAATTTTGATAAGAAAACCTGAAAGAAGGATAGCAGGTGGAAGACCTGGGCATAGATACGAGTGTAATGTTAAACTGCATCATAATGATACAGGATATGAGGACGCGACTCTGAATAGGGACAGTAGTGGGCTCTTGGGAATGTGGTAATGAACCTGCAGACTCCATAAAATGCCTGGCATTTCTTGAATAGTTGAATGACTGTTAACTTCTCAAGAAGGAATTTGTTAGTTATATGTTAGTTGGGTACTGTTGCATGAGAAATTGGTGCCATTACTGTTGCACAGACCAGGAAGGTAGATGGATCAAAGCTGCAGGAGCATGAAGGACACAAGAGAAATAGAGAAAGCCCACTGAAACCATTTTCAGAAAGTGTCTGGAAATACATGAAACTTATTGTAATACGTAGTTTATTTTATTTTCAGGTGAATGCTTCTGTGAAAGCAATAATCAAAGCTGAATCTGCAAGTAAGCTTGCTGAACTTGAGGCCTTGGCTGTAACATGGGATGGCGAAGTCCGTGTGGTCACTAAGTAATTTACAGATCTTACTATTTGCAGTAATGTTTCCAAATGTTTTACCTAAATTTTCACATCTTTGAGTTAACATTTTAGTACAAAGTCGCAGCACAAACCAAGTATGTGGAATCCTCATTGAATGTTCCTCAAATTAAGGTCTTCCTTCGTTTAAGTGTCAATTTCCATGTTCCTCAGTCGGTAATCTTAGCGTTAAATTACCTCTAAGATTTTCTTCCATTATGTTCAAATTCTCTGCCCCCAAAAGAAACTTTTATATATTGTGTTCACTCTGACAATTTCACATTGTGGTCTTCTGTGGGACTTGAACATAATCTGTGTTGTTCAGAAAGAAATGTAATTTTTTCAACATCTTGTCACAATTTTCGTTTGTTTTATCAGCTTTATTTTTGTTGTCAGTAAAATGGAGAAATCTCAATATGTCGCCAATTTCCACACTTCACAGATCACTACAGCACATGCTGAGTGTTTTCAGTTTGCTGTCACTAATGGTTTACCAGTAATGGATCTTAACAGGGGGGATTCTTTAGTTTCCAACTGCACTAAGTCTTCTCTTACTCCCTCGCAACTGACTAACTTGTAAACTTGTCCCATTGATAATCCCTTAGCATGGACTCCATAGAAAACACTCTTTATTGTTATACTCCAATTTTTTCTGTGGGAGTGTGTTTGTTTGTGAAGGGATTACTCAGTAAAGGTTGTGTATACTTGCTTATTAAGAATCAGTTGTCTAGCAGCAGATGTTTTGATGTTTATTTCTAGGTCATTGCTCAGTAATGGGTCTGCATGCTACAATGTGAAAGAATATGTCCCATTTCATTCTTTTTCTGTAAAAATGTTTAGAAAAATATATGACACAAACTCTGTCCTAAGTGCAACAATTTATTGTACTTTCGTCTTCCTTTCTTCTACACTACATGTTTCGGCCGTAAATGGCCATCATCAGGTATATACTCTCACGTAGCTGCTACACTGCATGTAATTTAAAATTTAAAAAACACTAGTCTTCCCAGTTGTTCATTTCTCCGTTGCTAACAGGTTTCTATATATCAGAATCCTTCCCGATGATATCTGTCATATATGTACAAAATCTCTGTTAACCTACACACGTCAATTTTATTTTCAAAAACTGGCACTTTTAAAATCTTCAATTCCAATTTAAAAATTTAAAAATTTCTTTAACATTTTTAAAGGAAGGAAAGGAAGACAAAACAACTACAATAAATTGTTGCACTTAGGCTGGAATTTGTGTCATATATTGTGTAGAGTGTAACGGGATGCTTAAATATAATATTGTTTAGGAAAATGTTTTAGTGTGACCCTAGAATGTCCATTTGCTGTGCTCCATCTGTACAAATAATAAATATAAACAAGTATGTTTTATGTAGGGTCACATCAGTAACCTTGAATTGATTGGGGAGGAAGGGGCCACAATCTCTTTCAAGGTATTATTATCCTGGTATTCACCTGGAGAGATTGAGGAAAACCACAGAAAACATTAGGATAATCAGTTTTCAGGCTGAGGTTCAATGCTGTATAACACTATTTTTCTGTCACAATACAACAACTAAGGAGTATCATGTAGTGTGGCATAGCTGGGTATTGACCTTGATACTCCTTAGTTGTTGTGTTGTGACGGAAAAGTAAAGTTATATATTGTAACACAACAGGATTCATGAAATAAAGTTAAAGGCTGTATTAATTCCTCTAGCTCTCAGACCATTTAGAACAGTTGGCAAGGAGAAAAGTAGTGTGCTATGACCAAAGGTGACTACACAGTTCAAAGCTGTGTGGTACAGTTTCCTTTAAATGTTTATGCACTAAATGTACAATTATTTCCATTATTTCAAAGAATAAAGGAATTTAAACATACAAAAATAATCAAAATAATTATGAGGGAACATGAATTAGGCTGCATTTGTAAAGAATTGTTGTTTCAAAATGTTGTATGTGGGAAAATAGATTAATTCTTAATAATCTAGTATTTGTTTGGAATGTCTTACACAAGAAATATATTAAATACAATTTCTTTTTTAATACGTACACTTTACAAGGTTTTAAATGACAGTTTAATATGACTATAATCAAAGACAAAAAAATCTAAATTTCCACATGATGAAGGTTAATGTATAATTTCATAACTCATGGTACCAGGTTTTCTACTTAGCACCTTGTTCTGTATATGCACAGTGATGTTAAACTATATGGTGTCACATCGCAGAAGGCCATAATCTGCAAGTTCTGATGTCCTTGGTATGTAGTTTATGTCTTATAATTTTGCTGAAAGCCAAAATTATATCATAGCTTTTATTTTCTGAGTGCTAGGAACTAGGCTTTAGCCTACTCATATTTAAATTTTTCAAACCAGTTGAAGAACCCAAAGGAAATACTGTTGACTTTCAAAATATTAAATGTTGAATAACATTGGATGTTGCTTAAGTATTATAATAAATTTATGCACAGGCATGCTGAGAACTTGCTTCAGCTGGATAATGGCAAGAAGATTCCACCCTGTGGATGGAAGTGTGAGAAGTGTGACCTTACACAGAATCTATGGTTGAACCTCACTGATGGATCTATCTTATGTGGCCGCAAGTTCTACGATGGCTCTGGAGGCAATGACCACGCTGTTGAGCATTACAGGTCGACAGGTAACTGATTGTGCCTGGTCTGTGTACATGTGGGTTCAGTAGCTAAATTGTTGCTACTTGTGTCATGGTAAACATGTTGACTGTGTAGCTGTGTTTGTTATATTTCAGGTTATCCACTGGCTGTGAAACTAGGTACAATTACGAAGGATGGCAGGGCAGATGTGTTTAGTTATGATGAAGACAACATGGTGGAGGATCCGAATCTTATTGTTCATTTGGCACATTTTGGAATCAACATTGCACAGATGGAAAAGGTAGTAACTAACCGTTTTATCTATGTGTGGTTGTGTTGATAGGTTTGATTTAGGCAACATCGTTAGTACTGGTAGACAAATAATAAAATGTGTATTATAGGTGAATAAACTTAATTTTTGAAAATACTGTAATGCTTAAAAACAGAACATTCTTTGTAGCACACAAATATGCAGCTGATAATAATAAGGAAGTAATCTGTTGTGGGCCGTAGGGTCGTGAGACTTTGAGACTCCCACATTTTCTAGTCAGTTGGTTCACAAATGGTGGTGAGGTTGTCAGCCTTGCATGCTGGCCACCCTTTACCCTGAGAAGGATTCCTGGTACTTATTTCTATTGGAGGCTAAGTTGACCCCAGGGCCATAGTGTGGCTGGAAGGATAGGTCAATTGAAAAATGATGACCTCATCGGGAATCGAAACTGCAACCTTTCCTTCTTGTGGAATAGTGCCTCAACCAAGTACCCTACCACATGCCCCCATAATAAAGCAGTGTAAGGTAAAGATACAGAAAGATCACACTTTACTATAAAATTGCAGTCACATATTAAGTCATGACCTTTCAAGAATTTAAATGCTTGTTACTTGCAGACTGAGGTACTAAAGAGTTGCAGGTTGAAGCTGACTGTGCATGAATTACAGTGTGTGTGTGTGTGTGTGTGTGTGGTGGGGATGTGCAGTAAAAGGTTATCCATGTTGTATTGTTTAGTTGTCAGTTACAACACACACTTGTTGGTTGGTTGCTGTTCTCCCTCATTCTGCTCCCTTCCTTCTTTTATTACTGCTGCTTCTATGTCTGCTTTAGAAATTCAAGAATAAAATCAGGGATGAGGTAATTTTAGAAGTAAAAGAAAAAATATGTTCCAGCTCCCATGTTTGCCCTCATTATGGATAGAGGCATGGACCGCTCATTTAGCCAGCAATGAGTAACTGTAAAATGTGTGCCAAGTAAAAGGCAAGTGAATGGTACTTATGAATACACCCTGGTCTGGGAATCGTGGGCGAACAGTGCAATGTGAGAGTACCCCATTGCTGACATGTGACAGAGCAACGTTTGTTCTCTTATTTCTCTCTAATGTTTCAGACTGATAAGTCAATGGTGGAGTTAGAGCTGGACTTGAACCAAAAGTTTGGTGAGTGGGTGGCGCTACAGGAAGCTGGCAGTCAGTTGAAACCGCTATATGGTCCAGGATACACTGGACTGATCAATCTTGGCAACTCCTGTTACATGAATAGTATAATACAGGTCATCTTTGTCATTCCAGACTTTGTTAGAAGGTGAGAGAAGTATCTGTGTTGACTGCCATTCTTCGAGCCTGAGCTACGTCACAGAAAGACGGGAAAGGAAAACAATGTCTAAAACAAACACGGGGGGAGTAAAAGGAAGGGTTGGGTTCTTTCCATATGCACTAATGTTTGGTGGTCTTCCCCTGCCTGCCTAATACTTGGCTGTCTGGCCAACATACATTTGTATTTGTAGTGGTTAGTGAAGGTTGGGTATGTTTTGCTATATCAGTACATATAGTTTAACAGATGGGTACCAGTGTTTTGGAGATATCTGCTGGCTTCATTTTGAGTAGCTTAATGGTTTGGTAGAGTCTAAAGGATTCTGATGATGGTGTATAACACTAGGGTTTGCTGTGTTTTAGGACTTTGTCCATTGTCTGGTATTCTAAAAGACACAAAATAACACAACGTGTCAGAAACTGGATCTGTTTCCGTCCTCAGGTTAGGGGCGGGAGACACCTATGGACCCAGCAGAGTAGGAGTCACCTGCCCCTCACTTGGGGATGGAAACAGATCAGTTTACAAAACAGGACCTTCTATGTTTTTTAGAATGATTTGGGGAGGGAACAAAGGTACGTGATGTAAGGACGTCCCCAACTCTCTTCTTAAGTTTCTTCCTTCCCTACTGACAATGCAGTCCCTTACAGGCGCATTAACTCTCCTTTGTTCACTAATGGTTCATATGCCTGGCACTCTCTTCCCTATATCGTATACCCCTTTTCCTTCTTTGTCTTTTCTTCCCAGAAGATGAAAGCAGGGGGTTTCCCTGAAACATTGGTACCTGCCAGCAGAAGCATACAGTGTAACAGTCATAAAGATCCTGAGTTTATTATTGCTTATTATATTTGGCCGTAAAGAAGTTGCATAGACTGAAAGTTTGTAATATATTTTAAATTTTTGCCACTTTTCTGTCTTTTGCAAGATGAGAGAGTAAATTGATGTAGAAAGATGGAAATAATGAAATGTGTTTCCCTATTTACGTATATCTTTAATTATGTTTTCGACTTACAGGTTTGTTGAGGGATCTGCAGAAATTTTTGATTCTGCATCTTCTGACCCGGCATCAGACTTCAATGTACAAATGTAAGTTGGTAATACTTCAGAACGTTTTTTTTCCTTCTTTTTAGATTCAGCTTTGTATTAGTGTTGCCTTGCATGAAGATATGTATATGTTACATAGTTACATCAGTTGAGCTGTAATGTATAAATTACACAATATAGATTTTGCTACAAAAGATCATTGCTTGAAATAATTCATGAAATCCATTATCTAACATAACAGTTGAGTGTGCAGTACTTCTGCTTCATATCTGAGAGGTTGGCTGTCTGGTCTGTGGACCAGATAACAGGTATAAAAATTGTGTATGTGCTAATAAGTTTGGTATCATTTGTTTTGAAAAGGCTGAGTACAATCTCGCCTAGCTCTGAATACTTAGTTGAACACAGTATTTTAAATTTAAATTCACGCAGCTCAGCTTACGTACAGATGAATTTGTTACAGACTGTTTATATGTTGGTGTAATTATCACCAAAACAAAATTTCTGGTTTAGTTCATGCCTGGCATTTATTTAATCTTTATTGTTCATGTGTATGTAGTGTGTGCACATTCTAGGGAGCCAAGCAGGTTTAATGTTACACTGTTTTTGGTATAAACCCCATTGTTGCCAAGTTGCAGTCTAGCTGCCAGTGTCATATTCGTGTAAGAATTAAACCCCATGTTCCCAGGTGATAAAGGTTCACCTTTTCCTGTCCTCAGTCGGAATACTTATATCATTTGGAATATCTTGTACACTTCCTGTGTTGGAAGCCTTCCGCTACTGACTTTATGAATTTGTGCCATCTTATGATTGCATGTGCAGCATTATACCTTTTCTCTTTACATTCTTTACATCTTTTCTAGTAGTTTGTATACAGATAGAGCAGATGGCAGGGGTTTTATATTTACCCTATATCAAAATGTTTTCTTTTTAAATTTGGGTTACTGTAGCAATGAATTGTTGAGCATTAACACATTGCATGAACATAAATTGTGTAGTAGGTCACAAACAAGCAAACAGTGTTTTGTTTCATGTATTGTATCTATTATGTGGATATTGATAATATTTTGATGTAGGTATGTGAAGTGTAGTATACTGTATAAAGGATATGACTTCAGTATATCATTTGATAACACGTAGGACTAGAGGGATGCAGAAGAAAGCAGGGAATGTTAATAATTTGATAGGTTATGTGATAAATGATGAAACTTGTCACTATATACTCGGCAGGTAAGAACACTAGTAAGTCTTAATGTTACTAATTTTATGTGGACTTTTATTTGTGAAATGAAGGAAAATCATAGCTACAGAATTTAAATAGCCTTTGGTGACAGTGGTAGTAGGTCTTTGCACTGTTGTGTACTTTTCATTATGTTTCACTTGCAATATTTCTTTCTTTTCACATTCAGGTCTAAGCTTGGAATAGGTTTACTGGGTGGAAAGTACTCAAAAGTTCCGCCAGAGGGTTCAAAAGCCAAGCAGACAAACGATGATTTACAGCCTGGAATCTCGCCACATATGTTCAAGTCTCTGATTGGCAAAGGTCATCCACTGTTCTCCACAAAGAGGCAACAGGATGCACAAGAGTTCTTCCTACATTTTATCAACACACTTGAGGTACTGTGCATTGTGTGTAAGTAAAGGTAAAGCGATCCTTGTAACAGGCCACGGAAGCCCATAGGGTTGTGGGGTGGCATTTAACACTGTTTAGGTTGGTATATGAGTACAAATATATTGAAGGAACCAGCATCTTGTCTCTATTGACTTGGAGGGCTTCAGATCTGTGGACATAAGAGAGTAGCCTTTCCATACAGGAACATTGTGTTAGGTTTGAAGTTCTCAGGATGGCATCAAGATTATGGTCTATACTGGAATGTAATGCCAGGCGCGCACCTCTATCCTAATGATGGAACCAATCCTGAAACATTGGTACCCACTTATCACCCTACATGGCATCATATCCCAGGAGACCCTAATCGTGGGTTCAGTATACTGTCTCATTGTTGAATTAGTTGTGTGCTGTGTTCTCTAATTGTATTAGAAATGCAGATTATAATAAAAATTGGAAGAGAAATTAAAAATTTAAAAGGAGGGATCATAAATGTAATACTATTTGTTGAAAATATGCAGTCGTTATCTTTATGTAGGTGACTTGAAATGCTTACAGAGGAACAGTCGTCATCGAAACAATCCGTCAGACTGCTTCAAGTTCTCTGTGGAGGATCGTTTTCAGTGCAGTAAGTCAAAGAAAGTGAAGTACACATACAGAACAGAATACAGCTTGCCACTACCCATTACTCTTGAAGCTGCCGTCAACAAGGAGGAGGTTGCAGCATATGAAGCTCAAAAGGCTGAAGTAGAGGACAAAGGACAGAGATTGTAAGTTTGAGAATTTGTTGCACCGAGTGCAGCTTCACCCAGAATTCTTGTTTGAATACATTTCTGCACTTCATACTTTTGCAGTGAAAATGATTTGTTTTTCTATATGAGTTAGCACAGAAGTATATGACAATTATATTTTGATTACTAATTGATGGACTAAGTAACTAAGTGTAATTAACTACATGGACTACAGTCCTTTAGAAGCTGATCTTTGCTTAGCTGGTCAAATTCCCAATCTTTATGGATCTCAGATTTCATTACTGTGTTTATAATGACCTGCCACTGATTCCTGTCATGAGCTAGATGAATCCAGTCCTCACCCTGCCATCTGTTTCTTTACAATCCAATTTTAATGTTTTCCTCCCATCTGCACTTAAGTTTTCCTAGTGGTAACTTTCCTTCACATTTTCTTATGAAAACTTTGTATGCACCTCTTTTCTGTCCTGTGTGTATTATATGCCCTGCGCATTATATATCACTTTTTGTTTATGTATAGATTTACCATTGAGAGAAAAATGCTTGACAGAATTAAGTGTCTAGCTGATAACAGGTATATTCCTTGATAATAAATGGACTTACACTAGTTTTATCACCCTTAATATAAATACAGGGTGTCCCAGGAGGAATGGACCAAACTTCGGGAGGGTGTTCCTTATGTTAAAGTATGCCGATATAACCCAAAACACCAATGTCCAAAGTTGAACGGTTATGGAGATAATGGCCAGAGAAGTGTCAAACTTTGACCGGCGTTGCACACTTGTTGATTACAAAATACATATTAAAACTGGCAGGAATATGTGGATTCTGTAATGTTAATAATGTACGTAACATAAAACTAACTTGTGAGTGACATGAAGCCATAAAATTGAAGTACAAAATACTCGCTCGCCATGTCATAATTGTCCTTAGGGTTTCCAAGCATTATACATGACACATGAATGGCAAGCGCTGACGTAACGTGCTGACTGCGCATTCTGGTATAAGCCAACTACATAAGCACGGCTAGGGTGTATCACCGCACTCAAGGACAAACACAGATAAGGCCTCTCAGCTGAGAGGTACAGTGCATGGACCTGCCAGAAGACCACACTTTTCTTGGGCCATTATCTCCGTAACCGTTCAACTTTAGACATAGGTGTTTTGGGTTATATCGGCATACTTTAACATAAGGAACACCCTCCTGAAGTTTGGTCCATTCCTCATGGGACACTCTGTATATACAGTAACAGGTTCCTTCTACTGCTGTGGCAGTTTTTCCTTCTTCCTAACAGAGTCAATAAATTTGTGGGTCTCTGAACATAATGTATTACCTCCTGCTTTGGTCAGTTCTGCTGGAATTTCACATGTATCTGATAATTTCTCCTTTTCAACTTTTAAAGTAGTGAGTCCTTCAGGAAATGCCTTGTACAGTAATAACTAGGATTCATATTAGACTTTTCAGTTCTTGAATAGTGTTGTTTGATATTTATGTTTGCAAGAGACCCGAATGTTCTGGTTCGGCCCAGGATCAAGTTGTCGTCATGTCTGGAAGCATTCTCTGAAGCGGAGATAGTTGAGCATTTCTACAGTTCTGCCTTGAATGAAAAGACAACTGCAAGAAAGTGAGTGTTCCTTGAGTTCCAGCATTTTGTTTTTGCCCTCACTGCTATAGTAATAGTGTGATATAACTGAAGTTAACGGAAATAAGTGTTTGTTGCTTCCAGCAATAGTCTTGATTGGACTGAAGCTGGCTACACGTGGATTTCCACTGTTAGTTTCAATATGTAGTGGAACCCTTGCTTAATGTTGTTCAGTTAAGATTTTCCTGCATTTGATACTCAGTTTGTGTGATCCCAAATCAGTAATCACAGTGCTAAATTTCCTTTGTATAATATTTTTCTCAATTTGGTGTTCAGTTCACTGGTCCCCAGAGAAACCTAAAAATGTGGATTTCACTGTATGTACCTGTATCTAGTGGTGATGCACCGACCATATTACTTTATGTAAGTCTCATGAAGTAAGATCTGAGGTTTCCATGGCGGTGACTATGAAGACTGCCATCTTCTGGGATGTGGTGCTGTGTAGATATTTTGTTAACTGACGTTTCGGAGGAACGTATTGCCTCCATCTTCAGGTTTTAAGAAATCTGCAAGTGATGAACCAGCGTGAGCAGGTGTCTGCAGACTGAATGCCAGTCATGACACCCAGCTATATAAGAACCGAAGGGTAGGGAGAGGGGCCAGCAGGTGTTGCACTAGTACTATTATAATTAACAGATCTATATGTATATAGTGCTGGTCACGGTAGCCGAGCGGTCTAAGGCATGCACTGTCTTCACTCGCTAGGAAGCCGGGATCGTGGGTTCGAGTCCCACTCAGGGCATGGATGTTTGTGTGCGTTTTTCTGTGTTTGTGTACAGGTAGAGGCCTTGCGACGAGCTGATCACTTGCCCAAGGAGTCTGCCATATGTGTAAGATCTAGAAAAACCGAAGTGAATGGAGAAGTTCATGGAGGTAGGCCTAGGCTCACTGGGGCTGTAGTGCCAAGGAAAAAAAAAACAACATGTATATAGTAATATTAGAGTTTCTTGATCTCCAGTTATGTTTGACCAATACTGATGCATGAAATTCCTTTTGCCCAGGACAACGCGTCTTGCATCATTCCCCGACTACCTCCTCATCCACCTGAAGAAGTTTACTGTAAGAGAGGACTGGGTTCCTATCAAACTGGATGTTGCAGTAGAGATGCCTGATGAGTTGGACCTATCTCCACTGAGAGGCAGTGGGCTGCAGCCTGGGGAGGATCCTCTACCGGAGATCACAGGAGCACCACCACCCTCCCCTGTGCTGGATCAGGAAGTCCTCAAGCAGTTGATAGACATGGGATTTCCTCCAGAAGCCTGTAAGAAAGCTGTATACTTCACAGATAATAAGGGGCTTGAACCAGCAACAAACTGGGTAATGGATCACATTGGTGATTCTGATTTTGCTGATCCTTTTGTTCCACCTGGTACAGACTTCAAAACAGGTAATTTCAATAATTATTTCCTTTTGGCAGGTTTGACAGGCCTGTATGAGCATGTGTTTGTTCTTGCTTAATGCCCTCAATGGATACCTCGTTTTTTTTAGGAGGGAAAAGCAGTTTTATTCCAAATGAAGATGCTGTTTCAATGATAATGATGATGGGTTTCACACGAGCACAATCCACACGGGCACTGAAAGCAACTGATAATGATGTTGAACGGGCCGCTGACTGGATATTCAGCCACCAGGCTGAGCTTGATTCAGAAGACTCACAGGGAGCAACTGTTGAGCCCACATTTCGGGATGGGGGAAGCAGTGAGTGGACAAATGGACTCTTTAAATACCTATTTTTCATTACCATCACCTTTTTAAGGATGGAATTTCTTATGTTGTTTCCAGTGCAGGAAATGTGAATAGTGTCATATTATGTACATACAGGTATCATGCTCAGCAGTGGATGCCATCTGTGGGATGGTCTGGACTGACTTAGCAAAGTTGAACATAATTTTTTGTTTTGTCGAAATGGTATGTCTGCAACTCGAAACAAACATTTGTATATAGGTATAATGCAGTTAGTCTTTATGACATGAAGGTATTTGATTCTGAAAATGTAAGCCAATGAAATTTGTGTATGTGGAAGTGTATGTACTGTTATAAAATGTTTTGAAGCTTAACATTTATAGAGTTTTTGCATTCCTTTCCAGGATATAGACTAATCGCATTTATCTCACACATGGGCACTTCAACAATGGTGGGACATTATGTTTGTCATATCTTGCGTGATGGACATTGGGTCATCTACAATGATAACAAGGTAGCACTTTCTGAGAACCCACCCAAAGAACTGGGCTACCTCTATCTTTACCAGCGATTGTAGAAGATGCAAGAATATTTGTGACTTCATTATTTGATTTCTTTTTTGTAATAATTTTGTAAACGTCGTAGAATTAATTTATAAAGATTCTTGTTTATGAAGGCTTGTCATGTATGCAGATATTGTATGTCTAAAAATTTTTACATTTACTGCTGACTAGAACCATGTTGGTTCATCGCAGTATTTGTCATTAAGACTTAACATTATTCAGTCAGCTTTATTAGCTCAGTTAAATGAGACATGATGAATCATTATGAAACTGCTTTATACTGAAAATAAATTAAAACTTTAATAGGAAAGTAGAAAGTGAGAGAGGTATTGCATTAGTTTCTGAGTTCTCCAAAAACAAAACTTCATATTTCTGCAAGTTTTTTTCTATTTTTGTTCCATTCATGCAGTTACTATGATCCTAGACCTTGCTTTGGGAAGGTAAGTTTTCACCACATCTGATATAAGACAACTAAACTGAAAGTATTACTTTTGATGGTAGCCTTCACCAGTACACTTCAAGACAAGATTCTGTCCCTACAAATGACTGAGTAAATTGGCTCAAGCTGTCAGGCATTGGTTTTGAATGTAGGAGGTCTTGATTTACATATTTGATAAGATACCAGCAATTCTGATTTATGCTTTTGTTTCATCAGTTGGTGCAATCAAGTGCCAGGATAATACCTCAGTTAGGTTGCAGCCACGTGCTTCTGATGCCTTTCCAGTCAATCATCCACTAATGCTACCACCCACTGTTTTATAATCTAACTTCCTGACAGCACCATTAAATAAACCATAAATAAAATAAATGGATGCTTATTTTAATGATAAGAATTTGAGTTGTTTCATTCTGGCCCGTTACACAATATTACACACAATTCTGTCCACTGTGACTGGTGAAATTTTTCTTTTTTCAATTCTTCATGCCCTTAAATGTTTTGGTCCTTAGAGACCATCATCGGAGAGACAGCGATACAGTTTGGAAACCACTATTACAATAGGTTTTCTGAATATTAAAATATATATACATACAATGTTGACAATACACAAATGGATACAAAATCCAAAGTTTTCACAACTACAGTGGCTGTCTTGATATATTAAAATTTTTTAAAACTTTTGTTATTTAAGTTAGAATTTATAAACCAAATAGGTTTGTGTCCTCTCCTATCACCTCTCCCGACGGGGGCCGAACTTGTGCCGCCTGTCTGTCTTGAGAAGAAGGTTCTGCAAATATATTATGGATATTGTATTATTTCAGCAACCCTATTATGTTATTTTTTTAAAAGGAGTTTTGTCCTACCTTTGATGTCATCCTGTGGTTGTTCATGGCGTGCTGTGTTGTTTTTACTGTTCTAGGGTGTGTTGCGCTGCATATTTATATTTCTTGTGTGTGTGATGTTAGTGTGGGCTTGTACTGATGTTATATTATAAGGTCGAACATGTTATGTTGGTTATTGCTTTCCTTTGTGTGTTTTTGTTGTTCTATCAATTTGTTGAGCTTATTAAAGCGATATATGGAAGTTTTATTTTATATTCATGATGCTTCCTTTTTTGGCTTTCTCAATCATTTCCATGATTACTGTCATCAGTCCATACTGGTGATGTTTTTAGTATATGTTGGGCAAATGCCGATTCATCTTTGTTTAGTCTTATGTTTTCCTTGTACCTTGTTAGATTTCTACCAGTTTGGCCAACATACACTTTATGGCAGCTTTGGCAGATTATTTTGTGTATCCCACTTTGTTCATAGGGGTTTTTTTCTCATTTTTCATTTATTAGTTTGACAGCATTGTATGTATATATATTTTAACACTCAGAACACCTATTGTAATAGTGGTTTCCAAACTGTATCGATGTCCCTCTGATGATGGTCTCTAAGGACCGAAACATGTAAGAGCATGAAGACTTGAAGTAAGTAAAACTTCACCAGTCACACTGGACAGAATTGTTTTATCTTTTATAATTAATTATAAGATATTGAATGAGATTTCCATTTTAACTTTCAGCATGCAACCAGTGTCATGTCCTTAAATCTCCTTATATGGCCTGTACCAAAGAAACTATGGATTTGTCATCAAGTACTTACAGACTTGAAGTTTCCTTATGTTGATATCTTATATGTATGTGGAAGAATGCAAAGATTTGAAAACCAATGGGAAATGAACATTTTGCAGAGTCAGTAATTTGATTTCATGTGAGACTGTGGTCATAATTCCTATTAGACCAAACTGATTTTGGATGGAAATGATACCCCAATACCAAAATGAAATACAGTAATCCTTGTCTTACCATGAAATTCATGTTTATGTGGTTTTTCTTATGTATAACAGTTCTTTGACTGTGGCCAAAAAGATTTGTGTATGCACTGTCTTGCTCAGAATTGTACTTTCAGATCAGCTGTATTTGTGCTGCTTCTGCACTGAGTTGTATATTAATGATCCATGTTAATATTCATCTCAGTCATGTCTCCATACCAACTCTTGTGTATTGCTCATAATAGTGTTTACATGCTGTCATGTCATGTGTTCTGTTGCTCACTCTTAATGTACTTGCATTGTTTTATGTTACCATGTTTTTCATTTGTGTTGAGTGAAGGAATATGCAACTTAGATTTTAATGGGTGTAACCATGACCATAAGGGACTTAACCACTTATATCCCAGAGTGTTTTAAACAGCAGTTCATGTTCCAAACCACAAATTATCCTACCAAGGGGTGCTATGCAGTGTTATCAGAATGGTGTCACTTCAATTATACACAAATAGAAAAATGGACATATATGACAGAATTATTATTTTAAGAAATATGTCCTAATTGTGTGATTACACAATTGTTATAAATTTAGTTATTCAAATTAGAGTAGCTAGTATGGGTTACTGATATCAGAAATATAATCCCTACTCACAGTTTGTCCAGTTACAAACTTATACTATCTAATGTGCAAGAATAGTTCTTTTCTTCACACTTTAATTACCTGAAATTATACAAGAACATATCAGATTTCTCCATCTTAATTTTATTATTTGTTAACAGTCATATTTAAGGAACCATCAGTTTCTAAATTACACTGTCTCTCCAGATGCATGTTCTCCTATTCTTAGCACTGTATAAAGCCACAACCAATTCAGGAAGTGGAGGTCACTTGACATCCCAGTTTTGTCCATATATGTAGGTTGATAGGCTGGTCTAAATCATAGTTAGTGCCTAGCCGAGACAGTTTTCAAGCCTATATTTGCCATCATTAATTGTCACATACCCACTCCCAAAAGAGAAACAGAACGATCACTTTAAAATTCTTTGATGTATGTATATATCAGATCTTTAATTTCAAGTTACCAGTTTTGTCTCGGTAATCTCAAAATGAGTCGTATGATCTTCGATTTATCATATTGTCAGAGCACTTGTGTGGAAACATTACACCAGCTAGAAGTAGTTCATACACATTTTTGAAACCTCTGATACAGGGTGTTAGGACACTGAATACTAGGAATGGAAAGAAACAGATTGCTGCAATCCACCATGACACTAATATTAATACCAGGAGCCAGAAGAAGCCATTGAAAACATCATTTCCAAATCCAGAGCCCATGTTGATTCTGAAAGTAAGAGAACACCTGTATTAATTTGTTGTCAGGTTACATGACATCTGTCATACATGTTAATAATACAGTAAATTATCTGGCATAAGTAGGGATGAAGTTTTTAGATGAATTTGCCAGTTGCATGAGAAAAGCACCCAAAGAAACCAAATACAAAGTCAGAGCTGTATGTCCATGTTTTATTTCTTGTGGGGCAGTCTTCCTAAGCAATGTAGCTGATTGATCAGTGGAAGATTTCAGATATACGTTAATACATGAGATAAGGTTGGCCTCTGCTGTAATAGCTCCTGCCAGAGGAGGGATATGTACCACATTGTGGGTGACCGTGGAAGCACTGCAAATTTGTTTCTGAGTAACCATATAAAAATGGCAGGTTGAATTTTTGTCACATGGATGAGAATTTCATTTGCTTGGATAATGGATAACTGGGAGTTTACTGTAATGAGAGAGGGTATGTTTACTTCGGAGTGCATGACTTATATTCCAGAAGTAGGGGGAACCTAAGTCTTAATTGATGTTTCTTGTGCTATTCCTCAGGCCATCAGATTAATTCTGGATATGATATTGAAAATGGGTTATGTCTGCTTAAACCTTAATTTTTGGAAAGTTGATATTTGTTCTTTACTTCAGGCCTTTGTGCTGTCTTCTTAGAGGTTTCTGTTTCATTCCCTTGCATCCTAGGATGTAAAATTCTGCAAGAGACAGTGTAAATCTGGAAGTACATTGAGTACAAAGATTACTGTATCCTGAGATGATTTGCCATGAAGTCTGTTAAATAACAGTAATCTTCTTAGTGCTGTGGGAACCTCAGAATCTTGTATGTTAAGTATAGTTAATGTAGCTTACCAAAAGCTGATAGTTGTCTCTGCACCGAGTGACACCAACAGCTTGCTATTTGTCTTCTTGTACGAGTTGTTGAGACAACAGAAAGATGATGTTCCACTGGTACTATTACTGCATTATGTGGGAGATATATCTGTCTGGCAGTTTCATATGCAGAATAATGAAGAGGCATATTAATGTGATGATGTAATTCTACTGTAGGCACATCTGTTATGATCTCAATAGCATACATACTTCATAAAAATGGTAATCTGATGACACAGAGCAGCTGGTCTTGATAACAGTACATTTGTAATAGTAACGCGAAAGATGAAAGGAGGATGTTTCATGCATTGGTATCTCCAGGTAATAAAGCATCTGGGGGGGGGGAGAAAGAGGTTAATTTCCCATAAGAAACTAAATTTTAGGGTCTCACATGGATATTGATTAAATGAAATTCAGCAGCAGCAATAGTAGTAGTAATTAAGAACACACCTGTTTCCCAGGAGTACTTGGTAATTATTCACATATAAACTCTTTTCAGAAAACTGATTTAACTCTAATCTGAACTTAAGATAAAGCAGCAAATAAAGCTATCCCTGTAACAGGCCGTGGAGGCCCATAGGGTTGTGAGATGTTGAGGTTCCCACATTTTCTAGTCAATTGGTTAATAGATGGCAGTAAGGTTGTCAGCCCTATGCACTGGCTGCCCTTTTCCCCCCAAGAATATTCCTGGTACTCATTTCTGTTAGAGCATGAGTCGACCCTAGGGCTATAGTGTGACTGGAAGGATTAGGTCAACTGAAAAAAAAAAATCAAATGACGGAACTTGAACCCGCAACCTTCCGGCTTGTAGCATAGTGCCTCAACCAACTATGCTACCTCATGCCCCCTATACTTAGCTAATATAAACCAAAATTAACTTTGGCTTAAACTTTTATTTTTGACCATGAATACTAAATTTAACTTAATTCCATTATTCATTTAGAACTGAAATGTGTAGACAGGACTTGACTTCCCTTTATTCACTTAATTTTGCACTTACTGCAAGGAATGCATAAAATGTTAACAAGTGTTGGAAATTATTATAACAGTTCCAAATTTGCATGAGATAAGGGCAGAGTGGTGCAGCACATAACTGCCTGCTTGTGGTGTAGCTGTACATATTGTGCAAGCGAATGCCATTACGCATACATATGAAGCAGGCACATACAATGATGCGATAATTTTCTACTAGTTTATGTCACAATGTAGTCATGTAAGTGGATACCAGTATTTCAGAGACAAATGCTTTCTCAAGCTTGTGGGTGTTATCTGAACATTGGCATCCACCTTATAAAACTCGTATATGGTGTCACTTTGACCCTAAAAGTGCTGATGTCATCTTCCTCTGAAACATCCATGTACAAGACTACATGCAGTCGCAACCCAGAAGACCGCAATCTGTACAGCCACTTTGAAAATCTCAACTCACATTATGACCATTCACACAGTTGCGATACTGTGGATATCTACACACAAAAATGATGAGGCAGAAACAGGATGGAAAAAATTGAAGGAGCTTCATAATTTGTACTCGTCACCAAATATTACCTGTAGTGATCAAACTAAGGTGTATGAGGTGTGCAAGAGACATAGCATACATGGCAGACAAGAGAAATGCATATAAACTGACCAGAAATTCTGAAGAAAAAAGCCCACCTTGAAGACTTGGTTGTAGGTGAGACAATGACATTAAAATAGATCTGAAAGAAATATGGTGGGAACTGGATTCATTTGGCTTAAAATAGGGACTACTTGGTGGGCTCTAAGGGAACATGATGATAAACCCACTGGGAAATTTTCTTGACTAGCTGATCAAGAATTATATTTTCAAGGACAATGCTCCATGGAGAAACATGTCACCATCTGGAGCCAAGCAAGAAAGTAACATGAAGCAGGTAGGAAGCTCTGCTACATGCTTCATGGTGGTTCCTTGCTTGGTTCATCTTCTGATCCTGAGAATGGAGGTAACATGTTCCTCCAAAACACTGGTTGACTTTTAGTGGACAACATTGTATCACATCCCACAAGATAGAACTCTTCATACTGTAACTGCTGCTGTTAAGAACAGTACATGCATAATTCTACTCATTTTGTTGACTTATTTTCACATAATTTCATGGAAATATGTATGCTGCTTAAGGAAAACTGGTTTTGCTAAATGCTGCATAGAATCTAAGCTCTTCGTATCCTGTAATGTATCCACTCTCCACCCCATTAAGGGACTAGACCATTAACAGCATATACCAGCAAGGTGGACCAGCATGAGGGCAAAAAATGCCATTGTTTACCTTGAAAACCGTATGACTTACAGGCTGGGCATAAGGTGTTCAATTTTTCCATACACTTTTCTTTGAAACATCTTTTACTGTAGTAAATATTTAGTTAAGTTACACTTGAGATGCATGCAGAAATGCACATAGGTCTTCATGTAAAATGCTACTTTTCTTCAATATTAACCAAGACTGCAATGTGCTCATTAATTTTTAGTAAAATTCCAATATAAAATTTCATGGAAATTTTTTCAGTGTGGTTCTTGAGCAGACATTGCAAAGCTAATGGACACATTTTTGTTGCCTTTTGTTCTGGAATGTGTTGAAAAAACCAGACTGAAACAAACTGATGTACAGCAATTAATTCACTGTTCAGTCAGTGTCTCTGATCTCTTTGGCAAGCACTGTCTCTGGAAGTACATTATGCCAATGAATTATGGCACAGCACTAGTCAAACCAATGCGAACTATTCCAACACCCAATTAAGGTATTAAAAAAATTATAAATGTGGAAAGTATAAGCAAAACTCTCACTGTACTTGTAAGATTTGAGGCTTTCATGGCGGTGACTATGAAGAAAGCAGTCTTCTGGGATTTGGCACCATGTATATGTGGTGTGCAGACTGTGCTTTTACTGGTTCTCACGGTCTCTTCGCTTGCAGATTTCCTATATTTTTTCTTCTACCCTGAAGATGGAGGCGATACGTTCCTCCGAAACGTCGGTTAACACCACATATACACGGTGCCAAATCCCAGAAGACTGCTTTCTTCATTCTCACTGTACTTGTTAACAGTAAACAAGAATGGTATTTTGTTGGTACACTTTATAAATATGAATTGGGGTAGCACAACTCTTTCCCTGGGGGTAAAGCAGCAGGAGTGTAAAGCTGACCACTCACCTCCAGCTATTGCTGAGGTCAAGAAAATGTGGATCTATACATCCACTCCCCTATATGCCTTCATGGCATAGTGCTTAATTAATTAAGCACATGGACAACTTTACCTTTTACATTTTATAAATGGTGAAGCTAAAAGAATTTGTACAATTTTTATTCTGAGACGTATGCTTCTCTTATATCTGACCTACTATCCTTGAAGATGTTTACTTCATCTCTCGAATGCTGTGGGGCAAAATGTAATTTCAGTTCCTTTTATCCTTCCTATTCACCATTTAGTTTATGTAATCTTCAAGTATTTGTTAATAATGTAGAAAGAAAATTATCAGTCTGTGTTCAAAAACTGTACATTTATTTTGAGAAAATAATTTTTAGTAAGAAATGCAGAGGAAATCCAGAGGCAGTAATAACATTTGAAGGAGAGACTAAAGCAGGTTTACATGTACTAATCTGCATGGCTGGAGTATTTGCAATGTTCTATAGACTCAAATGAGACAAGACTAATATATTTAGAAATTATCATGTTGTGACACCACAAGCTTCCCTTTACTATGCTGGCTTGTACAATGTGTCACTTGATGGTATATGAACATTGTCAGTAACATTAATTTATTTTAAAATATGTTTATACTTTCATAAACATGGCCATATGAGGAAACATTTCTTTTTCCATGCATTTATTCTAAATGTCTTCCTTCAGTAATTATTCTTTCATACACACACAGATACAAACACTCACGCCATAAACAAATTTACACCCTTTCAACATTTCATCTGTGTTTTTAATGCATTAAATATTGAAACAAAAACTGACTATGGGTGATATCACGAGTGAAAGGTGTTCAAGTACTCTAAAACGTGGCAAAAAATTATGGAGACATGATCAAATTTCCTCTTTAACATGTAAATGAAGTACAGTTATTACATTACAGACTTGCCTAAGTGTCCTGTCTTTCTGTAAGCACTAAGCATACACATATATTTAGCTTCTGGACCAACATCTATATTAAAAGTTGAGTCAAATACATAGTAGTTTTCCCACTAAGCTGTAATAATTTAAACTGATCTAAAGATATGAAATACAGCCATAAATTCAAAATGGCATGTTTATACAGTACTAACACTTGACAAAACAGACTCCATGGACATGAAGTTCCTGTAAACTGAAGACACATACTGATTTGTATTAAAAAGATAAATGGAAAAAATTTGATCATGAGCAGCATAATTTAGAGGTACTTATTTAACATGAAAATGTGCTTATTGTAAAAACTAAAACTGTGAAGGCCTGGTATAATTACCACGGTATTGCTTGTCCACTTGCCTATTAAATGTCTATTCATCACTCAATTTTATGATACACACAGATTTATTATATGAAAGAAATATAACATGTTTACAATGATTAAATAAAACACAGGTTTTAAATTCTGCAATCTTCTTCCCTTAACATTAAGCTATACACTTTGTACAGCCCTCTGTGGACATATTTTCATAACAGGTTTCCAAATCAAAATAACTGTTACTTAATCATGTCAATTACAAAACATCACTTCCTTTCCAGTCTTCTTTATACTAGCACGTGGAGAACTTACACTGCTGTGAGCTTCTGTACAATGGTAAAATGTGGACTACAGCCACTGAATGTAATATACTTGTCAGCAGATGTTCATTAAAACTGCTGCAATTGTCAAGAACTCCACATTATTTAACTTCAATGTTCCAACTACTATGTTGACATTACATTCTGAATCTGCAAGCAGATTTCTGTGGCTCATTTATCCAATTCTAGAGCTGCATATTGCTCCTCATCCACCTCAGTCATCATGAGGTTACCATCTGGCAGCAAAAGTACCACTCTTCTTGTTGCACCTAGCAACACAAAATAGGATTATAAAAATTAACAGGTGAAACTATGTACATTAATACTTTTATGAAAGAGAAGGCATTCTCAGAGTTTCCACTCGTATATTCAGTAATCTCTGCCATTAGTACTATAGGGATGCATTCTTCACCTCCATCATTTCATACTCCATGATTTTCCTTACATACCATTCATACTGTAAACACATTTCTTTTAAACTGAAAACATTTTATTCCATAAAAATATTATTTTTATAATAGAATTATGTTTCTGTAATTCCATGGTAGGCGAGCTGTTGAAAGAATGAAAATGACAGTAGAAGACTGAAAATGTATGCTGTAACTTACTGGGCACTGATTCCCCTGCAGTTGTGGGTGTATGTACATACGTTTTGCTTCAGTGCACTGACGATGTAGTTACTGACACAAGGTGCTCATGATCAAATACCTCTATGCATCATTAATTAATATGTATACATAGTTTCATATGTATAATTATAGAAGCCAGTGTCTATGTATGTATGTATGTATGTATGTATGTATGTTGCATTGACAGGGGATGACAACCCTGGGGATAACAACTAGAACAACATACATGTAGTATGGCTGACATTTTTTATTGTTGTTCTCCTGTAATGGTATGTTTTAAACAATATTTATTCAGACTGTTTTAATGAAAATTAGAGGGAGAGGAATGATGATGGCAGGGGGCGAAGTAAAGTAATATGGCAGAAAGGAGGGGAGGAGAAGAAAGGTATAAAAGTTTATATGACAAATGGAAAGATTTCCTGTTGAATTACTTATCCTTCATTTTTACACCATTTTATGCATTCATAGATGCAATGGTTCATAAACTATGGCTATCAAACCAAATGCTGAATAGAGACTTCATGCAGTGACCATTATTGTTGTTCCTTTCTACAACATAATTACCCAAGAAAAAGTGGGATCTTTATCAAAGACCTTTACATGATCTCAAGGCCCTAAATTATGCGGCACTAATGTTATTCCCATCTCACATGTTTGTGAATCCATCACATTACTACTGGTTATGGGATTCTGGTGGTCTTGAATGGCATAATATTCATTGATCAATTTGTTCAGAAGTTGAAAGGAACACATACACCATAATAATCTCGAAAAGACCTGCACTTTTTCTTATAAAATTAAAGGTCTAAATTCCTTTCCAGTTCAGGAAATATTATGGATGTTGAACTTTTTCTTTATCTTTTACGCTGTCTATTCTAAGCCTAGAAATTGTGTAGTCCAGAGGTGGTTACAAACTAACGAACCATCTCTGCTTCCATCTTTAGGCTTCTACCCTGAAGATGGTTCCTCCAAAACCATTGGTAACCACTTGCTACACTACATACACTGCTGGATTTTATGTTCTCAGGTCAATAACTGTGAGAGCACAGTCTTTAGGCCATGCAGTTCAGAGGTAACCTGATATTACACAACCCATGAGATTGGGGAGGGGTTAAAGCTATCCCTGTAACAGGTGAAGGCCAAAAGGGTTGTGAGACGTTGAGGCTGCCATGTTTTCTAGACAACTGGCTCAGAGGGTGGTAATGTTGTCAGCCTTATGAACCAGTTGCCCTTTACCCCCAGGAAGTTTCCTGGTACTTATTTCTGTTAGAGGCTGAGTTGACCCCAGGGCCATAGTTCAGCTGTAAAGATTAGGTCTATTGAAAAATCCAATGACCTCATAAAGAATTGAACCTACAACCTTCTGGGTTTGTAGCGTACTGCCTCAACCAACTATGCTACCACATGCCTCCCCCCAGACTGTACATTTATATACAGCCATAATCTACAAGCCCATACTCCAGATATTAAAGTGCCAATAAAACCCCATTATTTCATCCATTTTATTTTTATATTTACACTCCAAATTGAACAAGTATCCTGTACCTGCATTAACTTTTTTTCAGTATTTGGTGCTGTACTATACATAATTAGGATTTTGTGGACGTAGTTGGAAGGCTATGTAGTTTGACCATTTTTTATGACAAGATCGCCCATTAAAACGGCTATTTTTTACAGATCTTATATTTACATCAAGGCAGTAAATGAACTTTTGATTTCTCACCTGCCCCAGACATTGGTTCTCCTTCCTGGACGACCTGAGCCACAACTTGGGCCTGTGTCATTTCCTCTCCTTGCTCAACCCCTGATGTGATCATCAGCTGTTCACTATCTGCTTCTCCTTCCTTCACATAAAACTGTGAGCAACCGCTGCCACCCCCTATCACATTCACTTGATCAGGCATGAGCTGTGCTACAGCCTCAGCAACAGCAGTGTCCAATGTGAGAACAGAGCCATCCTCCATTCCTGCAGCTTGTTCCGCCGTTACATACACACACTGCGGCTCTCCGTCTGCAGACACTAACATTGCTTCCCCCCCATCCTGCTCTTCCTCTGTTGAAATTTGATACACCACACCATCTTCCCCAAATGTCACTAATTCGGTGCTCATTTCATTACTGCCCCCACTGGTACTGGCAGCACTACCACTGCCAACACTACTACTGCTGTTGGTAGTGTCCAGAAACAGTTTTCTTGCCGGAACAGAAATACCTCCACCAGCTTTTTGTGTGGATACAGTAACCTGTTGCTGTGAGCCATTTGTGCTAGAATTTGTGGTACTGATCTTTGTAACAGTCAAGCCCTCCTCTGTCCTTAGTGTGTTCATGTATGCTGTCGGATCAGCAATATTACTCTCTATCACAGTTCCCGTCGTTCCACCAGGGCTCATTTCGACTTTCAGTAGGGTTTCTTCTTCGCCACTCTGATACTGCGATTCCTGAACAATATGAATAGGTGAACCCTCTCGCTTGTCAGGTAGGATTTCTTCTGCATCTTCCTCTGCTCCTGGTGCTGATTCAGGCTCTGGCTCAGGTTCAGGACTTGGAACTGGTGTTGGTTCTCCTTCTGCTTGACCTAATATCTTTCCAGTTTCAGGACATAACGTAAATGGACGTGGTGGGCTGTCTGGTTCCAAAGAGGGAAGATCTCCCATTGGAAGCTCTGGCAAGGAATCAACTCCGTCATCACTATCACTGCTTGTGTGAACTTCATGGAACTCCATATGAAGTCCATCACCATCCACTAGTTTGCTATCCCTTTGTTTACCATTATTTACATTGTCTCCCACTGAAATTCCCCTGCTCTTTCCTCTGCTTATTGGCTTCTTCAACTTTGGATCATCTAGTTTTAAGCCAGGTTTCACTTGTACTGAACCTGGCGGCATCAGTACACCACCAGAACCCTGTTTCAACAAGACGGCAGTATCCTTTGCCTGCTGTCTCTTGGCCAATATTAATCTCTGTTGTGCAGTCATTGCTGGTGATGGGACATAACTCTGCACAGCCTTACCTAACATTGCATGGATAGGTTTAATTCCACTCTTCACCTGCGCAGCTGGAGAAGGAGTTCGTATCAGTCCCCTTCCTAGAGGTGACTGCAGAGGCATTTTTGGTCTTAGAGTACTGGAGATTTTGGTCTGAACTCCTGGTATTGCTATAGGTGACCTTTTAATACCAGAACCTAAACTTGGTCTGAGAGACATCCCAGGTAATCTGGGTTGTAGTCCCGGTCGCAGAGATGCCTGCAATAAGCCAGGCCTCTGAGTTAACATAGAAAGTGGCCGGGGAGAAGACAGAGAAGGTCGAGAACCAACTCGTGGTGAGATGAGAGGAGGTCTTCCCCCTGAGATCCCCATATGAGATAGTCCTGACAATGGCTTGTTCAAACTTCCTGTTGGTGTCACCCGGATCAAACCAGAATTCACATTTAATGGTGATCTTAGTGGTGTTCCTTGTTTTGATGAAGTCTGACCTACAACAGAACGAGTTCCCGTGATTGGTTGGGAGAGAGATTTTCGCACAATGCCAGTCTGTACACCATCTCTTTTGCTTCCTGATATCACAACTCCAGCATTTCCAACTTTCTGTCCTTGTGGAGACTGTTTTGTAGGCGATATTCTTGCCTTCACTGGCGAAGAAGGCAAATCATTCAGTTTAACAATACCAGATTTATTTGATATTATATAGACACCAGAAGTAAGATTTGGGACCTGTCGTGGATCTACCTTAATAACACCTTTTGAGTTGGCAACAAGAACTGGAGGCTGTGATGGAGGAGGCTGTTTTAAAGTGGGCTGTGGTTTTTTATTATGTTCGGGGGAAGAATCAGATGCTAGACCCAATTCAACGGCCAAATCTTTCTCCACTGTAGAAGGACTTTTATTTTTGGCAATTCCATTTATAGTATTACTTGAATCAACAGACTGAATCCGTTTTGACGACCTGCCATGTCCCCGTTTCATTACATCATCTCCAAGTTTTACCATGGGGACCTTGTGAATCACACCCATTGATTTGTTTTGGTTTCCTTGCACCGATACAATATTGTGTTTGGGTCTTTTTTTCTCACTTGAGTCTTCATCTGAAGATCCACCACTATTCCATGATGCACCCATTTCACCTCCACTCCAATCATCATCCGGAGGTTCTAATTTTATTTTTTTGTCAGGTACCATGTCATCATCAGAGTCACTTTCTTCTCCAGCTTTTCTTTTACCTGTAAATTATAACAACTGGTATGATAAAAGTAATTAGATTGCACAGATCCATTATATCCCGACAAAGGTCAGTGGTTATCTAGTGTTTGAGAGTGCTTAAGTCTCTGGTGAGGTCTGCACATTAACATGTTGTGCTGCATGAATATTTCCATTTCTTGCTACATAACCGTTTGACTTGACTGGGATATACCAACTCCTTTATCATACCTGATTCAAATTCTTTCTTGGTCATAGAGCCACACCATGACTTAACTTGCTCCAGAGCTCTCTTCTTGCTGCTTCGTACTGGACGGCTATAACAAGACAGGACAAATGTACGATACTAATGGGTATAATTCAGAATTATACAGTCTAATTGTAATTCACCACAAACAGGGTTCTATCAATGCCAAGTTCTGGTGACATCATTACAAAAGTGTGTTTCATTTCACTGATAATGACAGGAAAGGTTTATACCAAAGACTGCAAAAGCTTCTTTTTTGTGATTTATACCATTATTCTAGAGTTGGGATAGCATAGTCAGTATAGCGACTAGCTACGGGCTGGATGACCCAAGGGTCAGAGTTCGAGTCCTGGTAGAGTCAAGAATTTTCTCTTCACCACATCATTCAGACCAGCTCTGGGGTCCACCCAACTTCCTATCCAATGGGTACTGGGGGTTCTTTCCCTGGGGCTGGAACAGCTGGGGTGTGAAGCTGACCATTCACCTCCAGCTAGTGCAGAGGGTAAGAAAATGTGGATCTATACATCCACTCCCCTATATGCCTTCATGGCATAGTGCTTAATTAGTCAAGCACAGGTACAACCTTACCTTTACCATTATTCTGCAACCATATAAGAGAATTTCTGAAGAGTCTCTGCCAAACCAAGATATATCTATAAACAAATCTCTGCCACTGTAGAAGGATCCTCTATCAATACCTTCCACCAAAGGCTATTTATATGGCATATTCCTGTTTATGCTAGCAAGGACATGAAATCTGGGTCGCCTCTCATACTGGCTGATATGAACAAACCAGCTGTCATTGTCCTGCAATTGGTCGGGCCCCAATTGAAAGCAGGGGCACACTGTGTGAATGTATCATTTCTACAACTCACCAGCCTTCACACAGACATTAAAAGTTATTCATAAAACAAACTGTCAATAATTTGACACTGAACAACAAAAAAAGTTCAGAATGCAGTGAAATGCTAAAATTACTGTAATGGTAATAATATGGCAAGAAATTATGACAATACCAACCTAACAGACAGTTGAAACAAAAAGTGTGAAACGCAGAGTACAGAACAAAATAAAGCCTGTCTGAACGTTTGAGGAAAGAGAAGTTTAGGAACTCTGATCACGACTATGGAAAATTTACTTCTTCAATAGCAGAGAAGGTATTCTTACAGGTGCAGGTAAATGCAAACATCAACATTAAATGGGAAGGGGGGAGAGGCATATTGCAGTTCTTCAAGATTTGAGATATATTATTATTTATAACTATTTAAAATGAAATTAATATAAGTATTGGTATTGTAAATATGATAGTGGTGACTGGAGATTACTGGCTTTTGGGATATGAGGCTGCGCAGTCTGGCAGATATACACCATTGTTTCTGAAGAATCTGTTGCCACCATCTTCAGGTTAGGAGAGGCTATCTTTCCTTTTCTACCCTGAAGATGGACGCAGCAGGTTCCTTAGTAACACTGGCAAATATTTACAACATTACAAAGCATTATAGCTGCAAACTGAGTTACAAAGGGTTAGGAAGCCATCTGTAGATGCTTCTGACCTTTCAAAAGTTGTTAAACCACTAGGTCCTGGCTGATTCAACTCTTCTGGTTTTCCTGTAGTTTTAACTTTTATCACTGACTTCTCAGCTATGCCTTGATTTAGTTTCTGCTGCTGTGCCATTTGGCTTGTAGCTCTGTGCTGAATTGCTTTCTGCCTTGCAAGCTCACGTTCAAATGTCTCAACCAATTTATCACAAGCTGCCATGTTCTCCACGGGTTCCCATGTATTCTGATCGCTGAAAATAATCATTATAAAGCAATAATTTAATAAGCATGGAGTTCCAGGCAGAACTTATATAGCGTACTTTTCAACTGCTGCAGGATGCTTGGAAGCATCTTGTAACATTCCCCTGTATATCTTTATGTGTACTAATTACATGAAACTTACGTTGGATACCCTTCCCATTTCAGTAAATACTCATAGTATTTCCTCTTTGGGTTGAATCTCTTTGCAAGGATTTTTTCTACGACATATTCGTCTTCACTGTCCTTGTTTTTATCACTTCGCCGTACCACTCTGTTCCCTGACAGTTTGCTATCTGGTAGGGGTTTCCTTTTCACTGTGCCTGGTCGCTGTGTCAGGGATGCAGGGCTAAATGAACCACGAACCCGAAGTTTCATGCCTGCTTCTCCATGCTCGGCTTGCTCTTCCACCTGGTCCTCTTCGCTGCTCATATGCTCTACCTTGATTTCAACCATTCCATCACCAAGTGGGTCCTTCACTAATTTAATGTCTCCAGTTTTTATGCGGGTTGATGCTTCGGATTCTGGCTGCAGTGTCTCCTGTATCAGATGTAATGCCACAAAGGTAAATTACCGCATCACCTAACAAGATATATATTTAGTACCAATTTACTTAATCTGTTCCCCTTATATACTGCTGAGGTTTATTTTTTCATTTTGATCATTTTACAGATGGTAGGACTCCTTGGATGAGTTATCAACTCATCGCAAAGCCTCTACCTAAACTCAGGACAACATAAACACAAACACATACAAAAATCCATGCCTTATGTGGGATTTGAATCTACAATCCTGGCTTCTGAGCGAGGGAAGACAGGATATGCCTTAGACTGCTCGGCTACCATGACCAGCTATCTGATACCAAACAACTTTTAAATACAGCAGCGTCTTACTTAGAAGAAAATCAGATTTTCACTACTTACCGAGTTCTTTTCTTCGTCTTCTTTATCTGGTTTTGCAGATTCTGTTCCTTTCTCTGTTGGTTCCTTTATATTTTCCTTCTCTTCAGATTCCAGACATTCATCTTTTTCACCTCCATCACTTTCACTGACAGTGGGAGCAGATTCTTTCACATCAGTCTTTGCCATTGTTGCTTCACCTGAAGAATCCTTTCTGATGGAATATGTCCGTATTTCTTTGGTACCCTGGCCATCACGTACTCGGCGTACATCTCTCGCACTGCCATTCTTATCTACAGGTATACGTACAATCTTACGTACGACTTTTCGCTGTTCTGTTTCTGTAACATATTGGGCATATTTTTCAAGAAACATCTTTTAAGATTGCTCACATGACACACAAAGACAAGAAAGTAAGACTTCTATATATCACAAGAAGGTTTAACTCCTACAATAAAAAAAAATCACCAAATAATAACGGATGTGACTAACTATACATATACTAGTACTTGACATGCTATCAGGAACATACACAATCACTGGAACCAATATACAGATGCCTTTTGCAGAAAAATGAGAAATGTGTGATCCTATGACTTCCTTTTCAGGCTATATTTTAACAATAAACAAGGTGATACATAGGTGAACATAAGGGCATTTTTACTTTTATGGCTTATTTACTGATGCTCTCAATACTTCAGACAATACAGTGTCACTGTAAGGATGATTAATGCATTAAAGGAGAGCACATGGAATGATGCAGCAGTGGCCTAATTTGAGGTAATGCACTGGAATTTGTCTGAAGGGACTGAGGAAAACCATGAAAACCTCTCAGTTTGCACAGCCTGTGTCATGGCCAAGTTACCTGGTTGGACCACAGGAATGTTCTTATGCCTAGAAAGACCCCATTATAACCGGAGGAAAGGCATTATTTTCCATACTCCACAAATACTGCACACCTCAATGGCCCTGAAGTCAATTTACTTCTAGTAATACTTCACAAATCTATGAATTAGCTAGCAAACAGTAAATTCACAAGCTGCGAATACCACAAACACAATTACTGTGAGAACAATTCAGATCTTGAAAATGATCAGCTAGTATAAAACTACAGTTCTGAAGCTATTTACACTACACAGTCAGAAATTATGCTTCACTGGTCATGATGCTGATTTACTGGTAACAAAAATCTAATTATTAGGGGGGTGGGTGATTTTCCAGTAAGACAGTGGCAGCCATATTTACTGAATTGGAATTGAAAACACTTAGCTAGCAATTCTTATACATATAAAGGCCAGATGTCTGTGAAGCTTGCATCAGTAGATAACGTGGAACTCAGTGCCTGATATGGCACTGATATAATAGTGACACTGAAATAACGTGAAAATTTTGTCATGTGGTGAAGTGAGCGTCAGCTATGATGAAGAAGAAAGTGTCAGCATGCATCATGGCATATGGTACAGTCAGGCATGAGCGACCACATTTTCCATTTACTGGCAAGCCTGGCATAAATGTTGATTTAGAGGACTCCAGTAACCGCCTGGAAAATTCTGAGCTGTTCCGTACGTCAGGAATTGCGGAAGTAATAACCACAGAAACAAATCTGCATGCCAAATAAATTTTAGAAAGTATGACTAATCTAGAACTAAGATCTAGGACCCATCACTGGTAGGAAACAGACAGAAGTGAAATAATGAAGATGCTGGCACTTTCTACTACAAGAACTTCACCAAAGGCTGGATAACAAGAGCCACTTTTCCTGGAGGAAAATTCTGGAAACACCTATATTTTTGGACCCGTTCAGTGATGCTCAAGTTTCTTCATTTTGTCGACAATGAACGTTATAATGAGGCCACTTGCAGTTCCAAAAGACTGTATAAATTAAAACCCATACTAGATCAACAAATAAAACAAACTCTGTGATTTTAGTCCGCAAGCAACCGCTGCTTATCAGCGAAGTCAGTGCCAACTTTAGCGGATAGAGGGTATCGCGTGGTCAGCGCAACGAATCCCCAAGGCCGATAATTTTGGTTTTCTACACCAGAGCCGCTATTTCCTTGAAATAGCTCCTAAATTATCCTCATGAGGGTGAGTGGACCCTGTTCCACACCCAATACTTCTCAGAAAAAAAAAATCTGGTAGCGCCGGGAATTGAACTCGGACCTCTGGATCTGTAGCCAGGAACTCTGACCACTAGACCATAGAGACGGTCAACCATACTAGATCATCTAATGTCAAATTTAGGAGTGGATATACTCCAGAGTGTGATGTGTCAGTAGATGAGACGCTGATGATGTGGAAGGGATGTGTCATGGAAGGTATACATACTTTCAGTATATGCTTGATTTCGTTTAAATTCTTTTGAATTGTGTGAAGCCAAATCTGGTTATGTATGATACAATTTTCAACAAATCCCTAAAACATGATCCATGAGGCTGAAAAGTAGTTCTGTAACTCTGGCATCTCTAATGAATCAGGGATACAGTGTAATCATGGACAACTGGCTTTCTAACCCAGATCTGCTCCACAGCTGTGCAGCAAATGAACTGATGTTATGGGAAACTCGCATCAAAACAGGAAAGGTGTTCTTGATGAAATAAAGAATGCAGAATTGAAAATGAAAGAACATGTAAGATTTGAGGCTTTCACGGCGGTGACTATGAAGAAAGCAGTCTTCTGGGATTTGGCACCGTGTATATGTGGTGTTAACCGACGTTTCGGAGGAACGTATCGCCTCCATCTTCAGGGTAGAAGAAAAAATATATAAGAAATCTGCAAGCAAAGAGACCGTGAGAACTGGTAAAAGCGGTTCTCACGGTCTCTTTGCTTGCAGATTTCTTATATATTTTTTCTTCTACCCTGAAGATGGAGGCGATACGTTCCTCCGAAACGTCGGTTAACACCACATATACACGGTGCCAAATCCCAGAAGACTGCTTTCTTCAAGAAAGAACATGTTTCAGTCTACAAAGACAGACTGCTGACAATGAAGTGGAAAAATAGAGATATATGTCTTATAAGTACCATGGGGGCATGCGGTAGCATAGTTGGTTGAGGCACTATGCTACAAGTTGGAAGGTCGCAGGTTCAAGTCCCGATGAGGTCATTGGATTTTTTTCAAATTACCTGATCCTTTCAGGTGCACTATGGCCCTGGGGTCAAGTCAGCCTCTAACAGAAATGGGTACCAGGATTATTGTTGGGGTTAAGTGCGGCCGGCACGTAAGGCTGACAACCTTACCACCATCTATGAGCCGATTATATAGAAAATGTGGGAACCTCAACATCTCACAACCCTATGGGCCTCCACACCCTGTTACAGGGATACCTTTACTTTTTTTACTTTTTATAAGTACCATTCATGATAAAATGGTTCTAACTATGGTTTGAGGGCAATACACACTGAAGCCCAAAGTAGTCATTGATTATAATCCCAGGACAGGAGGTGCGGAACTCCGTGATGCTTACTTGACGAGCTATCCCAGCAGAAATAAAGGACGTAAAAAGAAAATAAAGGGGGAGGAACACCACACACACAAACTAAACAACTATAAAAAGCACTTCTGTCACTTGAGCGATATCTGTTGTTTGAATTCATATTTACTTAAAAGCGGCAATATTTCCAGGATGGTATTTAAAGTGAAACTTGGAGAAAATTTAATTTCAAAATATCATATAACATAAGAGAGACTGTTATGCAGACCACCAGAAACTGCCCCACCAAGGATGAACACTTCTCATTATCCCTTCTACCTGCTGCCACAGTGTCAAAGCAAAATCTGTGTCGGTGCTGTGTTATGTGCTACAAAAAGGGTCTATGTTATGAAACGTGGAACAACTGCAAAGTCTGTCAGGTGGCCCTGTGTGCTGTACTATTTTGAATGTTACCATATGGTTGTCGACTATTAGAGGGGTGAAAAGGGCATTGAGGTTCAGCAAGTGGCTAAGAAGTGTCTGAAATTAACATTTTAGTAAACAGAAAGTGTACTATGGGCTGGTATTGAAAACTGCACTATAATTATAAAGACCTTCACAGTATGTGCCATTGGTATAATTGTTTTAGTGATCATTCCATAATCTGCAAAAGATAACAATTTTGTAGCTGATGTCTGGAAGAACAAACAGACTTTGTTGTAAGTTCATTCATCCATAGTAGCCTTGAATTTGGGAAGGAAGTACAAATTCAGTGCACACAGCAATACGAAACATCTGTTATCAATGAAGTGAGTTGTAGTAGGTCATAGTGAAATGTTGTAAGAATCAAACATGTGGGTGTGTGTTTAGGCTTGAGGTGGTTCTGTCAGTCAGCTTCTATGACCATGTTTGATTTCTAAACACCAGACACCAGTCAGGACTGCATATAGTGGATGTGCATGAGCCAGATATGTCTTTGTGATCAGGTTTTGGGAAATGAAATGCATGTCATTGCTGACAGTGGCATACTTTTTGAGAATAAAGCAAAAAGTACAGAATTTGACTAAAAAATATAAACTTAAATATAACGGCTATATAAATGAAAATACAGATATCTGAACTCTGATAATCGGTCTTTCAGAAACTTTTTGTTTCATAATTTTATAACACATGATTGAGATATTGAATTTTAAAAAGGGAGCAACAATTATAAAATTGAATGCTGCAGCAACAAATTCATATGTCCGGGAATTTTAACATTCCACTGTGGGAGAGATAAGAACACTGAACATATACACTTAACTGGTTAAATTTGGACTGCCAAAGCTTTCAATTGCAATTAAAACTTACTTATTTCTGCATCATTTGCACTCATTTCTTCTGATTTGTAGTCATCCTCCTCGTCGTCAGTTATTGGCATAGACTTCGTAGTAACAACTCGAGGCCTTGTCTACAGGAAATATATTACTCTGGATTAGATATTTCTGTTTTTTTTTATTATTATTAAGAAAGCCAAGCCCATTTCAATTATTATCTGTAAACTTCAGTGGATAAGTGTTTTCACTGTCCAATCGTAATGTTTTTATTCTTGACTTCAATCCTATGTACACTCTTCTACAACACATTTCGGCCTCACACAGCCACCTTCAGGCGTAGTAACTCTTACTAAATTGTTTCACTGTTACTTAAATTTATTCGTGTGTGGAATTTTGCAGTGCTACCAGATTTTCTGAGAAGTAGTGGGTCTGGAACAGGGTCCACTCAGCCTCGTGAGGATAACTGAAGAGCTATATGAAGGAAATAGCAGCTCCAGTCTATAAAACCGAAATTAACAGTTGTGGGGATTCGTTGCGATAACCACGCGACACCCTCTATCCGCAAAAATTGGCACTAACTTCACTGACAAGCAGCGGTCGCTTGGTCGGTATAGTTCGCTTGCAGACTCAAGCCATGGAGTTTAGTTTTTTTGTGGTATTCATTACTACTTTCAATAAATATCTTCTAAAATCCATAAAATGCTGTTACTTGCCGATTGCCAACACACAGTTGGCAATGAGATAATACCAGCATTTCATGGATTTTAGAATATTTTTATTGAAAGTAACAAAGTGTTCCAAAAGCGACTATACAGAAATGACAGTGCAACGATTTTAGTATAAGCAACCACACCTCAGGATGGCAATGACAGGCCAAAATGTGTTGTAGAAGAATGTACATAGGATAGAAGGTAAGAATAAAAATGTTTCATTTGGATTGTGAAAACACCTATCCACTTAAGATTAGCAGTAATGCAATAGGACAATGAAGTACAATAACTGTAAACTATACTAACCTCAATGGGACTTTTGCTGGAATGTACTACTTCTGCCATTTTAGCATTGGCAAGTGTAGAAAAGGTCTGTATAGACTTGCCAGCAGCAATCCATGATTCTCTTGTGTTCTCTGCCATCTTACACCATCGTTGATAAAGCTTCCATGAATTCATTGGATCTCTTTCTCCTTCTACTTTATGCTGATTCATTACTGAACTCTTCCACAACAAGAATGCCCAGACTTGAGGTTTTGATTCCTAGGTACAATATGGAATTTTCAGAATAATACTGTGTATTTTTCTTGTAAAAAGAATACCTTTCCTTACAAAATATGGAAATGTAGACATGTATGCACATGCACACACATTCACTCTCACACACTCTCTCGCATGTGCGCATACACACAAGCAAAAGCGCCTGCAGTTGTACAGTTTACGATTCATCTGACCATATGCATTAAAGTCTATACCCACCTAACCAACCAGCTTTACATGAAATTAGTTAACCTGGCAAGAGAATCATTTTTTTTTTATTTTTATATAGGGGTATTACCATTTGTCTGGCCAGTCTAGGTAGCTGAGCGGTCTAAGGCATGCACTGTCTTCGCTCGCTCAGAAGCCAGGATCGTAGGTTCGAATCCCACTCAGGACATGGATGTCTGTGTGCATTTTTCTGTGTTTGTCTACAGGTAGAGGCCTTGCAACGAGCTGATCACTCGCCCAAGGAGTCCTACCGAATGTTTAAGATCTAGTAAACCGAAGTGAAACGGAGAGTTTCATGGAGGTAGGCCTAGGACCAAATTGGGGCTGTAGCGCCACAGAAAAAAAAATTACCATTCGTTTGGGTATTAACGTTATGGGGTGAGTGTCTAGTTAAGGTCCAATATTTCATTATTTTGGTTCTTAAAATAAAGGATTGCCTGTAAACTATTAAATATTCCAAAAAAGAACTCACTGATAAATTGGCCTTGAATGTGGGTTTTCCACACTCACTGGCATTCTTATGTTCTTGAAACTCTTCAATAAAATGAAACACATAATGGCAGGTGCCACAAACTAGCACATCCAAGCAGGCTACTTCTTCTTGGGCCCCTGAAATAAAATAAATTGCATTTTATTTACTCTTCCTGGCCCATGTTCATTAATTTTTTTCAATTGAACTAATCCTTCCAGCCACACTATGGCCCTGGGGTTAACTCAACTTCTAACAGAAATGAGTACCAGGAATTTTCTTGGGGAGTAAGGGGCAGTCAGCATCTAACGCTGACAATGTTGTTGCCATCTGCAACTTGCGTGTCTAGAAAATGTGACAGCCTTGATGTCTCACAAACCCATGGTCCTCCAAAGCCTTTTGCAAGGATAGCTCATGTATGATGACACACTGAATCACAGAATGACCATTCTCTAATTCAACTGGCAAGACTTAGACAGAACAAAATGTTTATTTCTATTACCCATTTGTTTGTTGTGTTCAGAGTAATATATGAATGAGATTCAAAAAGTACCTTGGTAAAGGCGAATAACAGTTTTCAACTCCCAATTTTGAAGATTATAATCAAAGCTTGGTACATAAAATGTACTTAATATACCACTGATACCTTTTGGTCTCCTAGGAATGCAAACTTTAATGATTTCAACATCAAAATAATAAAAGGTACACTATGTAAGATTTGAGGTTCTCACGGCGGTGACTATAAAGAAATGGTACAGTTTCAACAAAGTGAAATTCTGTGCTATGAAAGTTTTTGGATTTGATTTTGTGTGAGCAGATGATTAATACAACAATTCAGCTACAAAATTTACAAGGTCGAATGTCAAACTGTCATGAGAATTTCAAATTTGATTCATAGTATTTTTCAGTGATTCATAAAGCTCCTGAATTTTGATATCTTCATAATAATTTGGATGATTGTGTATTTATTTACATTAAAATGATACTATGAAGTATTATCTGCATACAATTATAATCAGAAAGGGGTATCCACATCACATTTACCTTAGATACTATAATATAATATGATAATAACAATAAAAAACAACTCTTTTATTGAAGTACTTTACAACAGCTAAAATGTCAATGAGCAAGATCTGATGAAAAATATACAATATAAAGGATAATAATAATAATGACAACAGTAATAATAAACAGGGGGGGAAGAGTCAATGACATTGGGACAAATAACACCAAACAATTATTTAAGGCACTGGAGCTTGAAAATTAAATGTTCACAACTGTTGGAACATACTAATGACGCAATAATAGTAACAAATGCAATTTACAAAATTTAAAAATTACCTTTAATGATCCTTGGATTTTTGTTCACAGATGACGGGTCGCCTCCTTCACCCTCCATGGCAGGCACTGATCTTGCAATGATCGAATACTCAAAACTGACACAGAACTCTCTACGAAAAGAAATAAAACACAGCAATACAAAATGCTGTTTATATTCTGTATTCAAATCTACGTTTGATGTAAATATCTCTAACTATTCTCTCATTCTACGTTATTGTTTACGCATGCAGCAAATGAAGTAGCCTCAATTGCCTGTTCAGACATCTTCCGTTTTCAATCCAGGGTCTATACAATGAATCTAAAATGTTATTACATTCGCCTTCAGTTAAAATTAGCTTCACCACTTTGTAAATTTTTCACTGCACAAGATAACACACTTCATTGCATTAATCAAAGAAATCATCACATTTACGATCTTCAACCTATCGAAATGTTCATCTTTGCAGGGATATGTAGCTGCTAGGTAAAATGGCAATGTATAATCAGTACGTTCCATTCCGTAGTTGTTTGCCAGTGAAAGTACCTAAACATTATAAAACCATACCAAAGTCAATATGAATACACTATTACTTTTGTATGTGAGCACTGAACACTTACATTCAAAGTAGCTGTATTGAAATGTACGCTTTTCTTGAATAGATCACTACCCATTACACCTCTCTATGGTTGCATCGCGTCACATCGACCGTGGCGCCATCCGTCAGTACATGGCGGGAATGTGATGATGCTGTTCGTATTCAAACATCCATTAACTGCAATTTCAGTCGTTCATTTGGGTGCTTTACTGCATACGGGAAAGTTGGCTGTAACGTAGTATGACGATAGGAAGTATAAACAAAAAAATTACTGAATTTATACTGCTCATGTTGACAAAATCATTAAACGTATCCTTTTTCATATAATTCATGAAGACACCCAAATTCCTAACATCAGTAGGTGTTCATCAATATTTACACTGGAATTTCCTTCGAGAGATCGAAAGTATGTAATTATCCTATACCATCTCTCCCGGTTCAGAACCTTCAATGAACAGAAATGTGCTTAATGAGGAAAATCGTTGTTGAATTCGTTAGTGTTTGCATCTCTCTTTAAGAAGTGAACTTCTAATGATACGTGTCTAATGGTTCGTTATGCAAGTCGATCGAAAGTAATTAGGTGGTGTTGCTTAGTTTTGCATGGTGTCAGTATGGAAAGGAATATGTTATATAAGTAATAATAAGAATCTCTTATAACTGTATATATTTCTTTTGAAATATTTAAAAGTTATGATTTTAATAATCAGGGCTGGTGTTTAGAAAAGAGAGTGGTGTAGAGATTGACAAATTCTGCATACTCATTGCTGGTGAGTACTTACGTACTACGTACTACGTACATATTAGATTTAATGTTTATAACTGAGAAAATATAAAACAGCTCAAAGAAACTCCGAGGTTCTTGTATGAAGCCAGTATGTGATAAACTTGATCTTCGAGACCAGCTGTTAACCTTACAGTCTACTGAAAAGGAGTATTACTGTAATACTGACGCAACAGGCCCCTTAAGAACCTTGGGCTGCTGTAGGACAGAAGCACCTTGCCTATTATTTACCTCCATCTCCTTCAGCTGTTGTCAATCATTCTGTGCAACTTCTCAGTTGGTTCCTTCCTGCTTTTCTTCTACTTTCAGGAAATTTCTTAGCCACTTTCGTTTGATCCGTTATAAACCTGCTCCCCAACCATTCCAATCATCACCTTTTAATGTTTGTATCTACTATTAGGTCGGGTTTCCTTCAGTTTGTGGTTGTATTTTTGAGTGTTATGATGCAGAGATAAAAATGTACAATACACACTTCTGCAAAAATTACATCTAAAGTAGTATTAAAATAATTAATTTTGGTTTAATCTTCCTGTCCTCTGAACGAATTTATATTATGGACAAACAGTTAACAGAGTAATCAAAAGTTAAGTTGTAAATCCTTATATATTTCACTGGTTATATACATTGGTCTGTGAGCCATTTGTTATATTGTTAGTCTTGAAATACATTCTGGAAAAAGTGTAATGGAAGAGTAGTGAAAAAGAAAGAATTGTTTTCAGAATCAGACTTCAGAAAATTGCTGCGTTTCCTTGACCTTGAAAGGGATGTCAAATGCTTGAATACTGCATATCAGGTGCAGTTTCTTTTCATTGTTCTTGATATTTTGGTAGATCTTTGTAATCTGTGCATGAAAATGAATACATATTGTCATATATGGAAGTTTTAATTGATGGTTTGTTTCCATGAAAATTTCACTGGTTAGTGCTTGAAATGGGACTTCATTATGTTTGTGTATTTATTCAGATATAATCATGGCAGAAGAAGAAGAAGGGAAGGAATACCGGTGGGAAACAGGATATGAGAAGACATGGTGAGTTCAGTCTTTATATTATATGACAGTTTTAGTTTTGATTTGAAGACTTCAGAAACATTGCTGTGGAATTTCTGGAAGACTTAAAGTAATTTTACGCTGATCTGGACTTAAGTTAGCCCTTTCCCACTTCTTCTTTGTCACTTCAGTACAAGGTTAGTGGTCTCGTGGGATGTGGATGGAATTGAAATCTAATGATGTTATTTTTGCTACTGTGAGGAACTTAGGTTTGTAAGTTCTGTGACTGTTTCATGTAAAGTAATGAAGATTATATTTCTTTTGATTTACAAATTTTCATCTTATGACAGTCTCTGTGGAATGAATTACCTTTGTAAATTGAAGAAATACCTGTATAGTTTGAATTAAACCAGCCCTTCCTTTATTCATTATTAAATTAAATACTGCTATTATTAAGAGGTAAATATATTTATATGTGTGTGTGTGTGTGTGTTTATGAAAGGGAAGCAATTCAGGAGGATGATGAAGGGCTGCTTGAAGGATCAGTGGCAGAAATAATTCAACGTGCAAAGAGGAAGCGGCAGGCGGAAAGGCATGGTAATACACGTCTTGGTATGATGCGTCACCTATTCTTGGTGATTGATAACTCAGATTGCATGAGTAACCAGGATTTGAAACCCACAAGACAACTTTGTACTATTAAGGTAATTGAGCTAAATCAGTCTGAACTGTGACAAGTACAATAAAATAATATGAGAACATACTGACTCATGATAAAGCGCAACGAAGAGTGGCGTCATCTGGGATGTGACACCATGTGGCCCAGTAGATGGTTACGACACCTTTCAGAGGAATCTGCTGCCTCACTGTTTGGGCTTCTACCCTGAACTAGGTTACTCTGAAATGTTGTTACACATTTACCAAACTGCGCGACATCACATCTTGGGAAGATCATATCTTAATACATCCTGTCACATCTCACAAAATAAAACTGCTTTAATCTGAACATGAAATGGAGATAACAATAGAATTGTCTTTGCTTCCTCCTTCTTCGCTTAAAAGATTATGCGCTAGCCTATTCTGGCTTCATTTATGATTCTTCTTTCCTCTGTCTTCATGCATCTGTTTTGCTGTATACTTTGTGGTCATTGTTTAGGAAAGTAGGTAGAACTGAAATAGTAATGTTCAGTATGCACAGCAACGGAAAACAAGAGTAAATTGTTCTTTGTTGGTAAGTTTTGTTTTCACTGTCTTGAGGGGGTGTGAGTTGTGTTTGCCATTTGTGCACTCAGCCAACTCCATGGAGGAGGGTCTTTCTTGAGATGGCAATAGTTACTCAGCCGATCAAGAAGAATGTTTTATAAGAAACCTGAAGATTCATTACTGTTCACTGGCCTCTATCTTCCAACCAGTCTTCTCTGGTCAGGCTCTTCAACTTAAATGTTAAACAGGTGAAACCTAGCATACAAACATAATGTGTTCTTCGAAGTGTGTTTGTAAGTCGAATACTCATAAGTTGAATTTATTCTTTTCATAAGATATATTGTTAAATTTTTAAAATGTTTGTAAGCGTGGGGTTTCGTGTTTGTTAACTGATTTTTAGTTGCTTATATTACAAATGTCATCTCAACAAGTAATGTGAGAATGTATTCAACAAAGGGTATATAACTTATGTGTTTAATATAAACGTAAGATATATACCAGTACCTATTGTCTTTATTGAAGATATTCCCATATTACTTGCTGTGTTTAATATAAACATAAGATATATACCAGGCATGTCCAACGCGTCGATTGCGGGACAATTTTTGGTCAATCTCATAGGCCTATAAGGAAATTATACGTGAAAATCATGTAAATTCGCTTGTAACATGGTATGATTATATTCAGATTTTGAAGGGAAAATACATATTAAAGTAGTCTGTACTTTCAGTGTATGTTGCTTTTACAACAATCATCATGTGTTGTGTTATTTTAACCAGTATTTTTGCTTAAAGCGAGGTATGACGATATGAGGGAGTGGTAGATCACAACCTGTTTGAAGTTGGACATGCCTGATATATACTAACACCTATTGTCTTTATTGAAACTATTCCTGTATTACTTGTTTTATTGACGGTCATAATATAAGCAGTTAAATATTATATAGACAACAGGATGCAGTCTGTAAAGTTTGTTAACTGATTTGGGAGTAACAAGTTATTAGTGTGCACAGTGTTCGTAAATACGAATTACCAGCCTCCAGATGTCACATGAAACATAGACAAGCTATGAAAAGGGTATTGTTTCTCAACACTGCACACAGAGGACATAAGAAACCACTGCAAGCAGTCATTTGCATACCAGTGTGCTTATGATGGTTGCAGTCAGGTACATGAGAGCATTGGATTCTTATGGGTGCAAATGGGTTAGCCTTCATCTCTCATACATTGTATATTGATTTGGCATGTGAGCACATTCCAGCTTGCCAAATTGCCTTTTTTGAGCACCATTAACTCAAAGTTAAGTTGTGGCCGCCAGCCCTGTAGAGTCAGAATGTGTAATATTTTCTGTTCCCAGATGATGAACCCTTACCTGCCTCCCAGAAGTATTGAGAGATTTAAAATCCAAGTTCCTAGAAAATAAAGGTTAATATCAGAGACTAAGTTTTCACATCCATACACAACAGTGGGTACAATTGTAAATTTTCGAAATTTTAATCAGTGTGTTTTTAGATAGCAGAGGGTATGACAAATTCTGAACTGAATGGTAGCAAGCATTTACTGAGTTTCATCTGCTTTTCATTTCTTTAAAAATACAATTTTGAATTGTTAGTGTCAGTCTCAAATATTTGAAATTTGTCACATTTTCAGAATATTTATTAGCTTTATTTGTGTCTTGCAGTCCAGTGATGAGATAGAACATACACAGATCAGAATCTGATGTGTTCCATTCAGCCTCAGAATCTTCCAGCGTTCTGAAGCAGTCTAAAAGTAATGGTGATGGAGACATCAGTCAGATTCTAAACTAAAGCCATGCTTGATGGTGCGTCCTGCAGTATATCCACGCTCTCTGCTCTCTGACAGGTTCATTGTAGTGGTCCTATGTATATTTTGGTTAGCAGAAGTAATTCCAATTTTTTCTACATGGGCTATTTCAGGAACCTAGTGCACATTACTTTAAGATGTGAAATTATTTTTAAAGAATATTTTTAATCTCTATTGCCTACCCTATGTATTGATTATTAATTGTTTTTGTTTCAGTTGTTGGAGGGTTTTATTGATGAATTTTTTGATCAGAATCCGATCAGTCAGATGGGAATCATCATAACGAAAAGCAAACGTGCTGAAAAAATAAGTGAGTTAGCTGGAAATCCAAGAAAACATATAAAGGTATGTGAAGCATGTCATATTAGTGAAAAGTGCCATGTTATTTGCCATGACAGTCTCCAATATGTACTGCAGACTCTTTACCTCCTGCCATGGTAGTAAACAATGTTCACCTGCCATGTATTGAAATTTGTCACTGTGGATACCCTTTTCCCTATGCCATGGCAGTTGCTGGTGTCTGCTGCAGCCCCTTTGCCTCATTCCATGACTGTCAGTGATATCCATTGTAGACCTTTATGTATTGTACCCTGGCATTGATCGAAGTCTGTTGCAGACGCTTTACATAATTCTCTGGTATTTATCAGTGTCAAATGTAAATGTTTCATCTCACAACATGACAGTTAATGGTGTCTGCTTTATAATGCTTGGATATGTTTTTGTGTCAGAGTGACATGTCCGCAAGTTTCACGCTGTGAAAGGGAGTGTCTATTGTGGCATGTGGGTACTACAACATTTTTTTAGTGTCTTGTCAGTTTACAGTAATGACAAAATGGTGAAAGTTTTCTCAGTGTCCCAGGACGGAAAGTATGAGCAATTACGGTGTCATGTTCAAAACGAGAGTCATCTTATAATTTCAGGCAGTCCAACAGTTAACTCAGGTGGCATGTAGTGGGGAGCCCTCTTTACAGAATGCCTTGGAACTTGCGTTACGCTCCTTACGTATGTTGCCTTCGCATGCCAGTCGTGAAATTCTGATTCTGATGGGAAGTTTAACAACTTGTGACCCTGGTGATATCTCTGTCACAGTTCAGGTGAGTGTGTTAGGCAGCCACCTGCTTCTTGTTACTTGTTGGTATTATTCTTTGACCCTGAAGATAAATGCAGTACATTCCACAGAAATGTCAGTTAACATTTACAGGACTGCATGGCACCACATCCCAGAAATACTTTTCTTTGTTATTGCATTTATGCTAATTTTTGTGTTTCTAAAGGAGCCATGATAGCACAGTCGGTATAGCAACTGACTATGGGCTGGGCATCTGAGAGGACAGAGTTCGGGCTTGGGTAGGGTCAAGAATTTTCTCTTCTTAACATTGCCCAGACCTGCTCTGGGGCCCACCCAGCCTCCTGTCCAATGAGTATGGGGACTCTTTCCCCAGGGGTAAAGTGGCCAGGGCGTGAAGCTGACCACTTGCCTCAAATAAGTGCCAAGGTCAAGAAAATGTGAACCTATACATCCTCTTCCCCATACACCTTCATGGTGTAATGCTTGATTAGTTAAGTGAAGGTCAACTTTACCTTTGTGTCTTGTTCTAGCAGAATTTGAAAGCACAAGGTGTTCGATGCTCAGTGATTGCTTTGGCAGCAGAAGTTCACATCTGCCATAAGCTGTGTCGTGAGACAGGAGGTCTGTTCGGAGTGATACTTGATGACTGTCACTTTCGTGATCAGCTCTTTCAACACATTGATCCTCCACCAGCTGCAACATTCCTTGACTCATCTCTAATCAAGATGGGGTTTCCTCACCACCTGATGCAGGAAGGGAAGGAGGCTTCACTTACTATGTGCATGTGGTGAGTTGGTTATACCAGTGTTATGTCAGTGAAGAGGTGAAGTACTGTCCATGCTTTTAGACTTGGCCGTTCTCAGCAGAATGCACAGTGGATTTGGTCGAGTCCCCTGAATAGCTAAGGATTTGCAGGTGTTGTACAGGTTATTCACTTCTTGTGTACAACCCAGAGGCCAGTTGTAAAAACATGGCCCGAACTCAGAGATGTTCACTTGGTGGTGTTTGCTCTCTCAGCTGCTGAATTTGTGTCAGGTAAGGAATGGGAGAAGAGCCTTGAACAACAGATAGGGACTGAGCAGGTTGACTCAGGTGTTCTGGCTTGTATTTAGGAGATGTTTGGTTTGAATCATGTTGGGGATCTTTACTATCACGACTGAGCTTTTTGTGTAGTTTTCCTCACTCAATTCAGTCCGTGACCTCTTTCTTCCGTATTATTCCCAGCTCATTCTTCAATAATTATTGAAGAATGAGCTGGGAATAATAATANATAAATAAATAAATTATAAATAAACAAACACTGTAGAAGGAATGGGAAGGAAGTGGTTATGAGCTATTTCAACACATTTCCATCCAGTGCTTGTAATTATCAAGATCTTCTGCTTATCCTTAATCCAAGAATCAGGGATTGATGTGAGCATGCTCTCCTAGTCATGCAATCTGTGGAGATTATGTATTCAAGTGATTTTGTTGCCAGTACATAGCAGGAAAATACTGAAGAAATTCACAGCCATGTTTGTTTTTATTCAGAAAGCGACATTTACACAAGAATGACTAGTTCATGGACACAGCCTCACTAAACAGCATGATAAGAAAGTGTGTTGAAGTACTGTCCTGGCATTTGGAGGGCTTGACAGCTGCCACCAGAAACCTCAATTGTGATAGTCCTTTGTGAGGACTGAGCCTAAAACCTAAATGTCGCAAAGTTCAAGTAGTTAGAAAGAAGACTGAAGAGTATCTTGCATACAGGCAGTTGAATCATACTGCAGGGCACAAAATTTGTAACTGTTTACAGATTTGTAATTATTAAAAAAAAAATATTGAAATTTGTCACTGTGGATTTGAAATTATCTAGCGAGTACTGTGAGAGAAGAAAAAATTGTGAAACAGGGGCTACCGACAGACGTTTGTGCCAGAATTTTATTTGTAGTATAATATTGAAGTGAACTTCTGAGAAGCAAAGCCACAACTTTGTTGTGCATTTAACTGCTCATGATTAAGACTGCAAGTTCAGTCCAGAAGTCTGACTAACTGGATCGGTTATCTTCCAGAAAAGCGTTTTAAAATGGAACACAGCTTCTGCATATCTTCCTAATGCATACCAGTACAGATAATCTCATTTTAGCATGATTTTATAATGTTTCAGCCATGTTGATTCTACTGACGGAGAGGGCGGTAGGCTCAATAGTGGAGGGTATTTCTGTCCTCAGTGTTGCAGCAAGTATTGCGAACTTCCCGTGGAGTGCAAAGCTTGTGGATTGACATTAGTATCTGCACCACATCTAGCCAGATCCTATCACCATTTGTTTCCTGTTGACAATTTCAAGGAACTTGAATTTAGAGATATGCAAGACAAAATTGAGTTGTGTTTTGCCTGTCAGAAGAGGTTTGGAGAACATGATAAACATGTAAGTATGATTAATGTGCTTCATATTTTGCTGCAGCCTATTGTGTCAATCACTGTAGATAATCCTCAGAATTACTGGGTTTTTGGATTTTGAGTGTTATACACCATTGTCACAACCTTTTACAATCTGCTGCAGATAATATTTACTTGTTTTACTGTTTTCAGGAGATGAGGTTGCTAAGTAAGGTGATATGTTTTTGGCACATGTGTGCCATTTTCAGGTCCTGTTTTTAGTTATAATTAACGTATCATACACTTAGCATAAATTTACATGTAAACTGAATGGATTCACTGGTGTGCTGTATACTGTATACTATATTATGTACTGTAATAGGCTGACTTGTTATTTCTATTGATTAACATTGAAATTGCAGATTTTGAATGTTCCATGTAAACGTGCAGCACTAGCACTGAATGTATTATGTCCATTTCATATGTATCCTTAGTTCCACTCTTTATTGGGACAGTTTGGCCTTGCCTTGGCCAGCGGTGAGTTGGGACAAACTGGAATATATATTGGTAGTGTGCTCTCTTAGGCTATTCCTGTCCAGTAATCTGCCAGCGTAGTTTTCTGGCTTAAAACAGTGACATCAGCACATGTTTCATGTCTTGTTGACACACTTGTTGGACAGGGAAGTGTGTTGCGAGCAGTTACAAGATCTAACCTGTTAACAGTGGACATTACTTTTGTCTTCCTTTCTTTTTTCAGGTTTATGAATGTGGGACATGTAGCAGAATATTTTGCTTGGAGTGTGATATGTTCATTCATGACTTATTACACACATGTCCTGGATGTGCTACAAACCATTCAACATCCCAGTCAATGAGCAATGATTCAGTGCCTCCAAGATAACCTGAGTTCCAAGTACTCTTCTAAGTATGTTATTGCATATTATTATTATTGGGAAGAGTGGAACTCACTGGAAGAAATCTTGAAGTCTTGTATTTTGATTATTTATTTATGTTGGTGGTCTATGGTTTTGAAGCAATGACCCTGGAGTACGTGACATCAAGGTGTATACAACATCAACAGGATCAGTAATATTTGCAGCAATAAACAGGAAAACTAACTGAAAAAGTAAAATAGTCAGTAATCTAAAAAAATTTGTATAATATGCTTTGGTGTTATATGTATGCTGTTCAGTATCGTCTGAGGGTGTATTATAATTATTACTTTGATGCTGACGTCCAAAATGACTGGGAGTAAAGGACAAACCCAGTATTTCTTTCTGTAATTACCAGACCAATTTAGACATCTGTCTCAGTGATGTGTCACTTGTTTGATTCCTGTTTAGAAGAAATAAGGGCTCACTGCGCCCCACCTGTTCATCTGGATTTTCATCGCATCATTGCATCAGAAGTATTTTCCTGAAGCTTCATTGATAGCCAGAAGTGGCAGTCATTGGGTGTCAAGGTTCAGGCTGAATGGCAGATGGACGAGACATTTCCAGCAGTATGTAGGGACTGCAAGCTGCGACATCCGAAGGAGGCAGTCTGGATGAAGCTAGTGTGGAGGCTTGATTTCTTCTCTGCTGGAATTCAATAAGTTGTATATCATTGGGATTAATGTCTTGGTCACTCCTAATGATTATGTATAGAAATAGTATGCATTGTCTAATATTCCTTGTTCTGTTGGACATCACTGTTGAAGTAATAAATATGAGTAACCCTCCTCCGAGACGTTACTGAATGCCCCTTGTAAGTAAATAAATAATAAACAAGGTGCAGTCTGCTGGTGGCATTCACAAGTGTGAGAACATGTTAAAACAATGAACAGAACTGTTTGGAAGATTGTAACTTTTCTGGCAATAAAAAAAGTACTTTTGGGGGGCCATGGGATTTCATTTTACACCATTGTTGATTTGCTGTTAACTCCAATTTTTATCCTTCCTCCCTGCATCAATAACCATTTCAGATGCGTCCGAAGTGTTGATAAACATTTGCCAGACGACACTGTGTTGTATATCAAAAGACAAAGAGACAAATTTTCATTGTCATTCTCATTGCTCTGGAAACCTGAAATGTTACACAGCAGTTTGATTACTTGTTATTGAAACTTGTAAAGTTTCTCACATAATAGTGTTTTCTGTTTGTTTAATTGTAGCCCAGATATTTTTCTTTGAATGATATGTTCTTACCTCAGTAAAGGACATGTCTCATAACAATAGAAAAGTATTCTGAAAGTAATATGTATATATGTATAAGAGTGGGCTATAGTAATTTGGCTCTTGCACAGGGATGAATGGAAAAGTGACAGAGATGGACAAAGGAAAATATATGGAAGAATGGGCAGCTTTCATGAACGAGGCCAAGGTTCTTAAGAGGTGTAAGGGTTTGGCCCTGGACAGGTTAAACAACTTGTGGTCAAACCAACATTGTGGAAGTGATTAGACACGCACAGAATTAACACTAAACTCAACAGCAGTGATTATATGCTCTAAAAGTTAATTTAATGAAGTATCATACCATGAATATGCATGACAGTGCAGGGCTGTGCATTCTTAAACTTGGCGCTAGATTTAGGTGGGTCATGACCTTCACATTTCAGCAGTTTTATCCCTAGGCGAGGTGCCTCAGTACTGCATGGATAGGCTGGCCAGCTCTGTGATTCATATGGTTGCTGTGAAGGACAGAATAACGCCTTTCTATTGCTGGAAATGTTTGTAGTCCAACCCATACTGTAGTTATACCAGCTGATCTATCCTTGTTCCATTACATGCTCTATGAATATAAATTGTGTATTTAAGATACTGGGGTGTCTGACCAATGAATTTTGTAACTAGTAAAGTAACAATTTATTGATATCTGATCATAGTTACCATCAGTGCCATTGGCACTAAGTAGTGTTAGTCATGAGTTCTGCTAGAGGGGCACAGCCCAAAGGTTTGCTCACAAGTGAGAAATTTTACTGATCTGTCTAGGGTATTCAGACTGGAATAAATAAAAAAGTATTTTAACCTTTAGTAGTAATGTTTGGATTATTACCTTCTAAGGGCAGGACCAGCTAGATTTGTTTACAGTCTTACCGATCTTTTCCACAAATCAGGGTGCGGGAGAGGAAGCAGATGAATGTGTCTGCCATTACCTGTGCTCATGATATTGTAGTGATTATCATCATATTGATGCATAGCCGCCCAAGCAGTGTTAGTGCAGGGGCAAAGTGCCAAATGCTAAGGAAATTAGTTATTGCATAATAAAGAGGTGTGTCATATTTTAGGAGGGGGAGATCGCATGTAATTGGCTGATTGTTGCTTTAATATCCTGCTAATGGGGCGCACCATATGCTCCCCTCCCAACCTGGGGAATGTAGCATTCATGACATTTTTTTTGTAAAGAACTGGGCGAGGATATTGCAGCTGACGGGCTGTCCTTCTTAGACCTGTGAGGGAAACAAATGATAGTGAAAGAAAACAGCCCATTCTATGATAAGCTGCTTTACACTATGCTATGCAGACTATGCTTATTGCAGTGTGTGGATATAAATGTCTACACATTTAGCATCAGTTCAAAATGTATTGGCCACCAGTATGCTTGGCTACTGCTCAACTGAACTGAACTAAAGAGATTGTGTTTTGGCTCAGGTAGTAGTTGCTGATTCATGCTGTTACTGCGCCTTTAATGGTTTGGACTTCTTGCATTCCTCACAATTCTCGAGGTTATATTTCTTGTGCTGTAAACATGTGGTTCTTTGTTCGAAGTGTAATTGTACTTGAAAAAGACTTTTTACAAGAAAGGAGCACGCCATTAAACGTTTGTTCCTACAAATATATTCTGAGCATGTTGGTGAGCAATAAACATGTGACGCAGGAGTATCAGATTCAGAGCTTGGCCAGGCACTGGCTGTGACAGATTTTAACTGCAGGCATGTGCTTGAAACAGGATATGTTTTCTTCCAAAATGCTGGCATGTTACCACGTAAGATCATCTTTGCACGTCATTGTCAGGTAATAAAGAGTGACTGGATGGCCATGGAATTAAAGCTCGATTCCTGTGAAGGGCAAAGATGTCTTCACAACGTCCAGACCGGTTCTGGAACCCAACCAGCCTCTTATCCAATTAGTACCGCAGGCTCTTTCCCCGAAGGTGAAGCAATGGGGATATGAAGATCGCCGTATATTTCCGTCTGGTGTCGAGGTTAAGACTACATGATGAGGAGCTTCATAACTTGTACTCGTCACCAAGTATAATTAGAATGATTAAGTAAAGGAGGATGAGATGGACAAGACACATAGCACGAATGTGGAAAAGAGGAATGCATATATGATATTGGTGGGAAAGCCAGAAGGAAAGAGACCACTAGGGAGATAAAGACATAGGTGGGTGGACAATATTAACATGAATTTTAGAGAGATAGGATGATATGGATTGGATTGATCTGGTTAAGGATATGGACCAGTGGAGGACTCTTGTGAACACAGTATTGAACTTTCGGGTTCCATAAAATGCTGGGAAGTTCTTGAGTGGCTGCACAATTGGCGGCTTCTCAAGAAGGGCTCTGCTCCATGAGTGAGTGAGAATCGAGGCTAGGACTGTATGGAGCAACCCCCCCTCCCCAAAACGTTTTCACAGTGCCTTGCTTCTTTAAACACAAGGACAACTTTGCCTTTATCCGTTACCTTGGACGGAAACTCGTCCTACGCAGGGATTCCCGGTACAGGCAGCCCCATACACTTGAAATGCGTACATTTACAGTTTGGGCCTTACGTTCGTTTGTTGTAGATAAAGGCATCTTGTTGCAAAATTAATCAACAGTACAGATACCACAGCCGGTCGCAGTGGCCGCGCGGTCTAAGGCATGAAATGTGTTTACTCGCTCGAACAATGGGATCTTGGTTCGAATCCCACTCAAGGCATGGATGTTTGCGTTGTCCTGTGTAGGTAGCGGACTTGCAACGGGCTAATCCCCCGTCCAAAGAGTTCTACCGACTGTCTAAGATTAAGAAACAGAAGTGAAACGAAGTTTTTCACGGACGCCCTATGCTCCAAGTGGGAGCAACAGGAACAAAAATAGATACAAGGTACATACCACATCGCGAGGAGTCATAAATTCCCTTGACGAATTTAATAAAGTTTGCACACAGTATAGTCCATCAACATGTACTATTTACGAGTATATACAAGGTGTAACGGAAAGTTGGAGACAAATTTGGGCACGAGTTCCACATAAAAGTAAATGTACCCCTGTAACGGGACGTGGAGGCCCATAGAATTGTGAGACGTCGAGGCTGCCACATTTTCTGTAAACAGTCGTTTCACAGATGACTGTAAGTTTGTCAGCCTTACGAGCCGGCCGCCCTTCCCCACCCCCCAAGAAGATTTCTGGTACTCATCTCTATTAGAGGCTGAGTCGACCCCAGGACCATAGTTCGCTGGAAGGATTAGGTCAATTGGAAAAATTCACCTCATCGGTATTCGAAATCGCGACCATCCAGCTTGTAGCATAGCGCCTCAACCAACTACGCTAACGCGTGCACCTTCACGAGTTCCACATACCAAAATATAAAAGAAAGTGTCCATATCAACATGTGTCTGGAAGCATTTAATTTGTGAGTTATAGCTAAAGGATTACATTTAAATAAGTGCTGAAAATGTCCTCCGTGAGATTCAATGCACTCCTCGACACGTCTCATCATGGACCGCCACATCCGTTCAAAGATGCCTGGGTGGTTGCGGATAGTCTGACAGGCATCCACAATTCGATGGTCAGGTGTTCATTCATTGTCAACAGTAGTTGCATACACAAGGTATTTTAGGTATCCCCACAGGTAAAAATCCAGAGGATTAAAATCTGGCGAGCGTCAGGCCTTGCAGAGTACTGAAGATTCCATGCATAACTTTCACACACATGTTTACTGCATGTTCGTACATACGCAACTAAACAAATACACGAATGACATGAGTTGTCTGACAAAAATTGCCCGAAATGAAAGAAAGGAGCTATACCGCCTGCTCCCCCCTCCCAGATTGTCACAGCAATGGGCACCGGCTGGGGGGTTGGGGGCAAGCTAAGCATTTTGCCCACCCATTGTAATTTTGGAAAAGTCAAAATTGAATGAAGCGGGAATTATACCAAACATTAATACAAAAGTTAAAGGTATTTTTTTTTAGAATTATTCTGTATTATTCTGAGCGACGAGTAAAGATAGTTTTAAACGGTGTAAGCTTACTTAATTAAGCGTTAAACCATGAAGACACATGGGGGAAGTGGAGGTAGAGCTCAGCCATTTTTGACCACAGCACTAGATGGAGGTGAGTGGTCAGGTTCACACACTGGTCGCTGGGTGGACCTCAGAGCTGGTCTGGGCGTTTTGGAGAAGAGAAAAATCTTGCCACTACCAGGTTTCGAACTCCATCCATTCAACCCATAGCCCGTCGTTGTACCGCCTGAGCTATCCCGACTCCTATAAGCGTTAAGTATATAAGCAAATTTTCTGGTTACCTCCCTTGGAAAATATGTTTCCCCCGCTTGGAAGAGATCCGTGAAGCACCATCGCAGTTGTTCCTGTGTGTACTGCTTCCATCTTTCCAGTCTCATGAGACGCGGTCACGTGTTGGTTGCGATTTTCAAGATAATTTTCTGCTTGTCTCTTGGGCAATTGTTTTGTTATTTTGGGGGGGTTTCATCTGATTTCAAGTCGTCAATTCTAGTTTATTTAATTCCTACGTAAATTCTGCGCTGCCTGAAATGAGCGTTGTTGGGTCTATTTGAGGCTCAAGTTACGGTCAGTTATACGCGTCCAAGACACCTGTCTGCTTGTCGGTAGGGTCAGACTTCTTACTTTCAAATTCAGGTGGCCAATAATATTGTTATTGATACGTCATAATGTAGGACGCCCATTGTGTCACGTGATTCAGGTTGCCACGAATTTAGCACACGACTTGTCATGTTGTGAGTGCAAGTAAGGACGGGCTCGCTGCCGCACCTACCAGAGAACCTGGCGGGCATTTCAGTTACGGTGCATAATTCAGTGCATAACGAACAGGAAGCTTCGAGTTCTTCTGCATGCACTTTTGTGCAACACGTCTCTTCACGTGTGTGTATATGTGTGTGTGGTATCAAACATTGCCCACTACTGGATACTTAAAAGGTACTGTTTGCATTTTAGAGTTTAATTTTCCTCATTTCCGTCTTGTTTGGATTAGTTTTGTTTATTTCGCTTATGACAAACCATGCCATAGCTTATGAGGTTAGGCTCTGGTTTCTCGTCTCGGAGTCTCTGGTTTAATCCCAGGCAATTTCTTGTGAAATTCGTGTCGACCGTGTCGTTCAGATCACATGGCAATCTTCCACAGCTTCGGTCTTTAAGTTTGGGGCTTCCTCACTGACCCTGTGTTTGACTGGTTATAACGTAAGAAAGTTAGAAACTGTTCTTAGATATTTATGAAAGGGAATATGTACGGGGTAGCTCAGTCAGTATAGCGACGGGCTACAGGCTGAAAGGCCGAGAAATTGTGGTTCAATTCCCCGCAATTGCAAGAGATTTTTCTTTTTCCCACAGCCACCAGACAGGCCCTGGGGTCCATCTAGCCTCCTACCTGATGGAAGCGTGAAGCTGATCATTCACCACTAGTGCCTAGGTTAAGAATTCTTGTAGCTATTATACTTCTGCTCCATATCATGGTGCTGTATATACGGGCACTATGCTACAAGGCTTGAGGTCGCGGGCTCAGTTCTCTATGAGGTCATTGCATTTTCAAATTTACTTAATCCTTCCTGCCGCATTATGGCCCAGGGGTCGACTCAGCCTTTTAACAGAAATGAGTACCAGGAATCTTCCGGGTGGTAAAAGGCGGCCGGTGCGTAAGGCTAATAACCTCACCGCCATCTGTGAGCTGATTGTCTAGAACAAGGGTCTCCAAACTACGGGCCGTGGGCCACATCCGGCCCGCGAAAGAATTGTGCAGAAATGCGCCAATTGAATTAATTTTCCAGTGAGTATTGGTAAATGTGATTCCGAGCTTATTGACCTGACATTTTATACTGCAGCTCGATGGCTTAGCTGTGGAAAGGTTTTTTCGCGCTTCTTTCAGCTCAGGAATGAAATTGATATATTTCTTACTGAGAAAAACCATCACGAACCACTTTTATCAGATACCAAGTGGCTTTGGAAATTAGCAGTTTTGCTGATCTGGTGAACCATATGAACCATTTGAATTTGAAGTTGCAGGGTGAAAATAACTTAGTCTGTGATTTATTTGCACTTATCAAGGCATTCAGAGCAAAGTTGATACTTCTGGAAAGCCAAGTGAAAAATTGTAACTTTGTTCATATGCTATACTGTGCAGAGTTGCATAAAAAGGGTGAAGCAGAATTTCCTTCCTCGTTTGCAAATTTAGTCATTTTAGATTTGAAAGAACAATTTCGGAAGCGATTTGCTGATTTGGATTCCAGTGCTCAGGAAATTAGATTGTTTCAAAACCCGTTTGACTGTGATGCTGCACATGTCAAATTCAAATGGAAATTATTGAACTTCAGGAAAATTATCATATTAAAGACAAATACAAGGAAGGAAATTTGATCGAATTTTATAAATTTCTGAACTCTGAGCAATTTCCAAATTTAAAGAAATTTGCTTGTAAATTTATCTCCATTTTTGGGACGACATATCTGTGTGAACAAACTTTTTCCCAGATGAAGTACATCAAGTCGAAATACAGGGCAAATTTATCCGATGAACATTTAAAGTCGCTACTTGTGATTAGCGTTTCAAAATTTGAACCCCAATTTAATCAGATTTTAAGAATGCAAAAAGAGTTCCATCATTCACATTAATTGTTTTATTATAATTTGTGATGAAAATATGAGCATTTGCTGCTACAGTCTGTTGTCATTAATATACGATAATTTATTCTCACGTACTTTGTATTTAGTTTATGAAATTCTGTGCTTTCAATAAAACTCATATACCTAGAGTTATTAATTTCTCATTTTATTCGGCCCGTTGAAAGTGCTGAATTACCTAATGTGGCTCGCGATTCGAAAAGTTTGGAGACCCCTAGTCTAGAAAATGTGGGTGCCTCGACGTCTCGCAACCCTATAGGCCTCCACGGCCTGTTACAGGAATAGTTTTATCTTAATATATATAATGGGGGCAGTCTACACAACAGTATTAAAAAAATGAAAACAAAATGATACTGCTGTGTCAGCATTTGTTTAGTGGCTGTTGACGCTACATTTTTCTACCCTCACGTTTGGCCATCATCAGGCGTATAAGAATACTAGCGTCTAAATTCTGTATGGATCCATATTGTGTTCTTATAAGTTTTATATATATAATTTGAGTTTACATTTAAAACTTGATGTTTAGACAGATAAAAATAAGGTAAAGGTAAAGTTGTCCCTGTGCTCAACTAATTAAGCACTACGCCATTAAGGTGTATGGGGGAGTGGATGTATAGATCCACGTTTTCTTGAACTCGGCACTAGCTGGAGGTGAGTGGTCAGCTTCACTCCCCGGTCGCTTTACCCCCCGGAGAAAGAGCCCCCGATACCCATTCTATAGAAGGTTGGCTGGACCCCAGATCCGGTCTGGACGACGTAAAGAAGAGAAAATTCTTGACCCCACCGTGACTCGAACTCCGAACCCTCCGTCGTCCAGCCCGTAGCCAGTCGTTATACTGACTCCGATATCCCGGCTGCTTTTCAGCGCCTCTGATATATATAAAAAACACCTGCGCATATAAACTCTCCCCCTAAGATCTACTTTAATATTATCCTTCCATCTTCCTAGTGTTCGAAGAGTTTTCTTCACACCCGCGTCTTACCTTCTTCATCCTAGCCATATTCCGAGACAATCGTAGTCTTTTTTGTTGCGCGTTCTTCGCAAAGTAAAAAGGAAGCCTTCCGTGAAGGTCATGTCTGTCCGTTTGTCTGTGACCTAGCATTGGTGTCAGAACCGTTATATGTATATTAATTCGATATGAGGGACTTCTGCCGAGAGTTACTGGACATTTCCAGCTCTCGGCTAATCACATATTTAATTAACTCCATGGAGTCGAGTCCTTCTGGAGAGGCCGCCAGTCTCTCATCTACTCAAGAATTTCCCAACGTTCCTGTGTTCCCGAGAGCACGCCACTGGTTCCTATCCAGCCCCAGATGAGTCCAGTCAGATTTATCTCAGATCTGTCTTACTATTATCTACCACTTGCGTCAAAGTCTTCATATCATAATGGTTTCTTTCCTTCTGGCTTTCCCACCAAAACCCTACATGCATTTCTCTTTTCTCCATGCATGCGACACGCCCTGCCCACCTTAATCTCCTTGACTTGATCATTGTAATAATATTTGGCGTAGAGTACAAGTTGTTACTCGAGGTCACGATTGGACTATTCTTTACGGGTATCATAAACCATTAATCAAATTTTGTAGACGGTGCTCAAGAAACCAGAGGCCAAATAAATTACAAGGACCGCTGTTGGCAGTACTGAGTAATAACCCAGTCAGTAACGTGACTAGGCTATGGGCTGTACGACCGAGTAATCTGGGTTCGATTCCCGACAGGAGCAAGTTATCTTCCTCGTTTTCAAAGCGTCCAGACCGGTACTGAGATGCACCCAGCCTCCAATCCAATGGGTACCGTGGATCATTCCTCCAGGGATAAAGCGGCCGGAACATGAAGCTTACCACTTACCTCCATCTACTGCCGAGGTTAAGAATGTTCCCCCATACATCTTCATGGCATAGTGCTTAATGAAGCACAGGGATTGCTTTACCCTTTTGTCTTTTTGCTGGTGCGTGTGGAGAACACCCTTTCACATCCTAGCAGCATCATCTGTATGTATACTATTGTCTGAGCACTTCAGATGTTTTCAGTCCACTTTCCTAGGCTTATACGATCTGCGTGCTGTCTGTATATCCCCCTATCAACCCTTGAATGGCTGAAGCAGTCTTTATGGCAAAATTGTCGCCGTGCTTAATTAGTCATCTGATTTTTCAACTGACCTAATCCTTCCAGCCGCACTATGGTCCTGGGGTCGACTCAGCCTCTAACAGAAATGAGTACCAGGAATCTTCCTGGGGTTAAAGAGAGCCCGGTGCGTAAGACTGACAGCCTCACCGCCATCTCTGAGCTGAGTGTTTAGAAAATGTGGGAGCCTCGACGTCTCACAACCCTATGTGCCTGAACGGCCTGTTACAAGGATAGTTTTACCTTTTACCAACATTTGTAAAATTTGGTATGTATGTCATGGCACCTGACCCCATCTCAACATATATTTCATAAATCCCTCCCATCAGTCTGTGTGTCTGTATGTGTATCCCAATGTCACTCGGCAACGACTCGGTAAAGAAGTTACCGCTGCAACGAATACACAAGCGCCAATAGAAGAATTTTGTACGCTAATTTTCCGTGCGGTCCGTGTCGCATCAAGGAAAGTAGGCGATCAGTTCTTCACGATTCGGTGACGAAGAGTCGTACGAATTGCTCATCAAGTTTAAGCTGTTACATTATTTGTTACCTGAAGTCAAGGACAATGGTTCGCTGTCATTAATTATCATCGCGTGTCTTTGCACGGTAAATAAGCCAAATATTTGATAATGGCTTTATGTAGCGCACGAAAATAACACGCATTCCATAAGTCGTGCTGGCAAAAGCGTTTCGATTTAGGAATGGTGATTTTTAACCTGCTTTCCTTTCTTAAGGAAAGACAGTAGGTATATAAGATTTAGTGTGCCTGTGCGTTTCTGTTCCATTTACACTTTGAAGCAGCTGACCGATTTTCACGAAACTTGGGGTGATCGACATGCTGTTGGAGTCTGACCATGACAGAAAACGCGAACTTGTGAAATGAGAGCGATATCACTGGCGCGCTTAATTTAGGATCCTGAACACACGTATGACAACAGGCCCTTCAGAAGTACGTATGTTACTTTCGCTAATATTTTTCTTTTATAGATTGTAAAGTAAAAAGATGGCGAACACGTGCCAAATTTCTTTAGCTTTCGGTTCAATGGCGATAACTAATGTCATATTAAAATCAATCTTAATAATTTGCATCTTGTTGTGTGTTTCAAATAAGATATAAAGCATACAAGAATATACCTTCTACACAACAACACTCTGTATTTCAAAACAAAGAAAACAGTCTA